GATAAGATACTTTTCTGAAAGTGCTAAGGTGGCTCTGCCACAGGAAAGAAAAAACTGAAATTGCTTTAAAGACTGCTACTTGAAATTCCATGTGTATCTACATTATTCTGAAAGATCATTAAAATTAAACCTTGAAACAACATATCTCCTGCTGTTTGTATTTTAATAAGATTTTTTTTCCCCTAGGAATTAATAAACAAAGCCTGTTCCATAGATGCATAAAGAGAGGGTCTATGATAGATTTACCAAAGTATCTTCCCCAGTCCCACCCTATTAAATTGCCTTTAGATAAATGAAATCGTTTGAAAGTACACAAATGAATTTTTTGAACTCTTCATGTTGATAAGGGTGCTAGCTGATTTTCAAGCATACTGAAATATACTTAAGCAGTTTCAGTGCTAGAAGTTGTGAAAACTTTATTAAATAAAGTATTAATTTGAAAATACCCTGTCTAGCTGCACAAAGGCATTCTTGTGAAGCTTAATGTTGCTCTTAACAGTTTATCCTTGATGGTAAAGTGGGGTTTTTTGCAGTCATTTTACCTTTAAATTTGATTATTCTAAGATAGGCAGAGTTCTGAAAAGGGTTTGTATGAAACAGCTTATTAACATGGAGATCTATAAGGAATGTCTTTATTACACACACCTCTGTCAGCAGAGGTGGAATTGCAACTGGTAGTTGAGATGCCTGCTTTGACCTGAAGGAAGCTTTGTATTTTTACTCAAACTGTTTATAAGAACAAAAGCTCTGACATGAAGCCCTTAAAAACAGTTTAAATAACCATTTAAAATATAAAGTAACCGTACTATTCTAATGCCGTATTTATGCAGCACCTAGTACACTATAAATTGGCTAGAAACAGCTGTCTATTTCTGCAAACACTTTAGCTTGCATGATGGCATTAAGTTGTGAACCTATATTTGCGAATTGAGAAAACGTGAAAAAAGGCAGTTGCTGAACTAGTCAAGATATAGGACATACCTGGTTTGAGGAAGATATGGACTATTTCCAGATTGATTAGGTGACTTTATGTGAGATTACTAATGGCACTTAGTCTGTTATAAAGTAGAAATAATATTGGTTCAAAATCTGAAGCCTCTTACTCATGGTTTCACAGAAGATTTGCTTTTTGGAAGAAAGAAGCATGCTTAAAATATATTTTTTAAAAATGCAGTCTTTAACTACGCTGCTGTAGTTAAAATTTGGTGCCCAAGATGATTTAATTGTTGAAAAGTCAGTTCCGCTTGACAGAAAGAATGGCCAGAAAGTATTTTTTGGGATGGAATTTTCTAACAAGAATTGAAATTAGAAAGTAGGTGTTGAGAAATGCTGTTTGTTCTGTTACTATTCAGTGTTTCATAATAGCTTTCATTATAAAGCAATGAAGAAAGTTAAGGGTAAATTCCTGTGTGGGAGGAGGACCATATAGGCTTCCTGATTCTCTTGATATATGGCACCGTGCAACTTGCACAGCATTGCAGTAAACAGTGGTGGTTCCAATGCTTTTCAGCATCTTGGGGATCTCAACAGAATTTATTTTTTTTTTTAGTGTATCTGCATATGTGTCTGTTTGAGCATGCACATATAACTTGGCAGAAGTTTAAAAGAATACTGTTGAGATCAAGAACAGTGTTGGCTACTAAGATAATACTGCAAGATAGGAATATTTAGTAATATGTTGGAAAACAGGGAAAGAAAGTCCATTTACCTTACGAAGGACATTGTAACTGTCTCCAGTGGTGGCCCCTTTTGTGCTCAGCATAGCAGGGCACATATTTGTCTCTGCAAGCTGAGGGCTAGCTGATGTCATTTCAGCTAAGGGCTGCTGCACACATGCACATATGTGTGAGAATTCTGTAATATGTGAACATAATGAACCCGATGCCTAACACTTTGTTCAACTTTATCTTAAATGGGAAGGTTGAAGAACACAGTTGTAAAATAAATTCTTATCACTCATCTCAGTGATTTCATAGGACAAGACAGCTGGGATGCTGGGATTTTCTGGCTTTTTCTTGGGCACCATTGTTCACTTCCCCAATTTGCTGCAGTTCTCTCTGTGAGTCAGTAGATAGCCAGGGAAATCTCCACTGAGGGTACTGGGCAGGCATGATATATTTTGCATTGTCGGATATACTAGCAGTTGCAGTGTGTCGTGGTGCCAGCTTGGTGTTACCATCTGCACCATCTCCACTTAGTGCTGGAGTGCAGTAAGTCAGAACTGGTTTTAAAGGACTGTTGGGGATGGACGCAAGTATCCCTAAGGTAAGAGCTATCTTGGAAGGAAGTTTTTTGGTTTAAAAAAATTGGTCGGGAACTACGCATTCATTTTAAAAACAGTGACATCTGCCTATGCAAGCACTGCAAAACTTGTAATTTTTTGGTGTATACGAGGGCTGGAAACTTCCTCTAAAGAGAGTCATGAATTGAGTCATTAATTAGTTGCTTATACTGTATTTGGAAGATTATGTGTTACTTAAATATACTTAATGTTTGTTTTTTTCAGTCTTTGTCTAGTAGTGAATCTTGAAAAGAATGTGTTGGGCCTGGATTTAAGTTGATTTTGGTGATAAGGGTTTGGATAGATCCTTTATTTCCATCTTTGAAACCAACAAACAGTTCTTTTTTCATTCTGTCCACTTGCTCTCGGTAGATGTTTAACATCTTGGAAGTTAATATTAGGGTGTTTCCCAGAGCTTTTGCTGGTTATGCAAGCTTATTCTGGTCAGTACTTACCTTCTTTTTTTGTTTTGTCAGCAGCCATGCAGCAGGTCCTGGATAACCTTACTGATCTGCCAACATCCACAGGCGCTGAAGAAATAGACCTGATTTTTCTTAAAGGAATCATGGAGAACCCTATTGTAAGATCTCTTGCTAAGGTATTTAAATTTGCTGCTGAGTAGAGTCTGGAAATATTTTAACTCTTAAATTGTTGTGTGAACATTGAGTATGGATTGAAGTATTAATAGTTGCTTTTGTGTATGGTATGTCTAAATAAAAGACTTCAAGAACTCCTTCAAGGTGAAAGTTTGGTATAATGTAATTTCTGTAGATCCTGATTTGTTGTTATATGGAAGATTCTAGAGGTAGGAAAAAAATCAGAGACTCCAGAAATAATGTGGTAACATTGTTTATGAAGAAAGTGTCAAAATACTTTAAATGAGAAGCAGTTGGTTTTAATATTGTCTTGTGACCATTGTTGTGTGCAAAACCCATATGCCTTCTGACTCTTCACATTTTTGCAAAAGACGAAAAGTGAGAGCAATAACCTTCTTTCTCCCATGGCATAACGAAGTTTTCTTTTTGTCTTTGGATCAAAACAACTTTATGATCAGCCCAGTGAATTGTTTTCTACACGCCCTTTCCTGGATCTCAGAATAATGCTGGGACCTTTGATTGTCAGGTCTCCGAGACATGGCCTTAGCTTAGTTTTGATTTAGCATTATGAAAACCTTTTATTTATAGAGAGTAGCAATCAATTATAAATATGTAAAGTGATATTTACAAAAAATCTTTGGACGCTGTAATTAAAATGTGGTTGATTTTACCAGCAAAACATGGAGTCAATATGGCACAGCACTTTACATTCTTTCTTAATCTTGCTTCATAAAAATAAGCTCCTTGCATGATTTAAAAAAACCCAGTTAATTTGAATGTAGCTGTCTCTATAATGTGAATAAACATTGGACAGTAGTGCCCTCTGGGCAGACAAGAAATATTCTGTAAAGCTAAAGAATTATTGTGTAGGAATTTTGGTCAGTATAAAAATCTAGAAAGGGAAACTTCTCATAAGAATTCATCTAGAAATTTACTTTTGTTTAGCTGTTCAAAAAATTGATTGTAAGTGGAAGACATTGCATGGTAATAAACTTAGAAATAATGCAAGTGTCTCATCTGTTAGTGAGATGACTGCAGAGGGAAAGATTTGTGTACTAAATTTCCTAGAGTAAGTAAAAGCATTTTCTTACTTCGAGTTGTTTACAACTTCAGTATCTGCTGCATAGGTCGTCTTTAATTTAATATTTGCCATGGAGAAAGTGTTCATTGCAAAGCGTTTTTTTTTTCTTAACAGGAATTTGTGCTTTAATGACCAATTACAATTATGTGGAATTTAATGACTAGCAGATGTTAAAAAGTGCTTGTGATGGAAACAGATTCTTAACTATAAACTTGCTTTGTCTAGAATGCGGAAAGATTTTAATTGTGTTCATATAGCATGGCTGCACTCATATTTTCTTTTATAATTATTTCAGAATTAAACCCAAAACCTTAGTCCTAACCATCAGAACTATATAAGGACAAGGTCAAAACAACAACGTATTTCATGGAGTGTATATATATTTCATATATATTCATTTGTCTCTAAAAACATGTAAAATGTGTTTTTCTATGAGAAGAGCTAGTTTTAACAGAATAGAGAATTCTCAGGACCCTGAGATGGTCAGATTATTTAAACAGATCCATTTCAGACAAGGCTAGAACTAGAAAAGCTTTTTCATTTTCCTTTATTTGTCAGTTGTTGTTCTCTTCTTCAGACTTGCAACCTTTCTTTGTAGGAGAGGTGTTCCAGCCCTCTGATTACTTTTGGACTGTCCTCTGGACCCACTCCAACAGGTCCATGTCTTTCCTATGCTGAGGTTTATATTCACTCCTAGCTAGTGTTTAGAATTGATATGGTTTTTTTGAAAACAGTTGTTGAATTTGGAGCATGTGTGAATTTTTTTCAGTTTTGCTACTATACTGTCTTATCAAAATTCTCCTCTCCTGGATTTTTAACTGTTCTTTTGAACCTCAACACTTTTATCTTCTTTTCTGCAGTCACACCATTTCTTTTAGTATTGTAAGACAACCTGCAGCATAGCAGGTGAATGCCTACCCCAGACCAAGGAAACATCTTAGGAGTAATGTATAAACATGAAGTCCAGTATTTAGGATGTCAGATTACCTGAGGCAAAAGCCTGGCTATTTGAACATTTGGCAAGTGTAATAAATATTGAATGAATCAAAAGATTCAGTTCAGTGTCACTGTTTCTGAAATGATGAACTGAAATGAAAAAGGTAATAATTACAGTATCTGAGTTAGGTATTCCTTTTTAAATTTTATTTTATTTTATTTTACATTATTCATGCCGCTCCATATTCTGCTCCTCCCCAGCATATTACAGGATCAGAGATTGTTGGCTGTTCCGCAGTGTGTACATGGCCTTGAATGGGCTGTAAAGGATTGCGGATATTTGTGTTTAGATTATACTCCCTGTTAGTGGTAGTATTTTAAAGAAAATGAGTGAGGTTATAAAGGTTTTGCGTTTGGAATACATTTATGGCTGTTCTGCAGCGTGTACATGGCCTTGAATGGGCTGTAAAGGGTGCAGATATTTGTGTTTAGATTATACTCCCTGTTAGTGGTAGTATTTTAAAGAAAATGAGTGAGGTTATAAAGGTTTTGCGTTTGGAATACATTTAAAAGTCAATAGATTTGTGTTTTTACTGGCTGCAAAAGAAGTAAACTTTAAAAGAAGAATATTGTGTACTGTATGTATTATGTAGAGTACAGCATTCCCTTATTAATGAGAATGTGTGTGGGTGCCAAGCTTCCTGTGACTTTGTAATCCTGGTCATTTAGTTTGTGTGTGTTGGTGTTGGGGAATGTTTGAAATGTCTTTCTCTGTGTTAAGTTAGCCCTTCCAATGTTTGATCATCAGTCTTACAGAAATACCATTTATAGATATGAAGTAGAATTTAATGCTCGGATGATTTCCGGAAACAAAAGTTTTATGGTTTTAGCAAAATTTTATTTTAGCATCTGTTTAAAAGCACTAATAATAAAGCAGATATGTGTGGATTACTTTATATATTTGAGACATATATATAGATGACTCACAAATATATCAATTATTTGTTGTGTTCTTATATGTCAATGTAGTTGCTCTTTTTTAAATTTCTTCTTGCCACGGTGTTGTAAATAACCTTTAATTGAGTGCGCTGAGAGTCTTAGTGATTTTTGGCCTTCTCTTATTCCCTGATTTTGTGATGCAGCACTACCTGTAATAAATAAGTGGAGCATTTGGATTTATGAGATGATTCTCTTGCTGCTCAAAGCTCCCACCTTTAAATGAATTTAAGTATCTGCAGTATTTAAGAAAGGATTGTGTCTGCAGCAATAGCTCTGGAAAGAGATGAAAAGTTATCACAGAATCACAGACTGTTTGAGGTTAGAAGGGACCTCTGGAGGGCATCAGGTCTGTCCCCGGTGCTCCAGCACTGGGTTGCTCAGGACCACATGCAACCCTTTTCTTAATGCCTCTGCCTTTGCTGCAGATTTTCCTTTATCATTTCCTTTGGTTATGCAGACTTTCCTTTAGAATTTTTTGTTTTGAAGGTGTTTGAATGGGAGGGGTCTGGAGTAAATGCTTCTCTTGCAGGCTTCATTTTTTTCTCAGCAGATCCCATAGTTCTTTTTTCGTTCTTCTAGAAGGCATCCTTGTACTGGGTTCTGAAACAGAAAAGATCTGAGGTGCTATGCTGTTCCCAGAGGACTATTTGGTGTATATAGCGTAGTGGTTATAGTAAATAAGAACACACAAGGATCTCTGACAGGTGCTGCTTATAAAGTTTGTTGGGTCATGTAGTTAAGCATGCAAAATCCTTCAGCACATTGTGATAAAATACATACAGATTATGCTATATGTATTTCTTTTTGGCTTTCCTGATAAACGTTGCACCAAGAAATTATTTAAAAGGTTTATAAATTGGAACTACTTGAAACTTATTTACAGTATAGTCTTATATATTTAATCTTGCAGGCTCATGAGCGACTGGAAGATTCTAAACTTGAGGCTGTCAGTGACAACAACCTGGAGTTGGTGAATGAAATTCTTGAAGACATCAGTCCCTTAGTAAACAAAGATGAAAATATTGCAGAGTTGGTTGGAATACTCAAGGAACCTCATTTTCAGGTGCCACCTTTTTAACTGCATATTAGCACTTACTGTATCAGTATCGACATATGGATCTAGGAATAATAATGAAACAAAACTGGAACTGTAGCAAACTTTTATATATGGGATTTACTCTGAGTGAAAGGTAAAGCAGAAGCCATGTGGGGTTAAGAATGAGAATGATTCTGTTCTTTGATATCACCTCAAGAGTATCTTCACTGATTATATTAAAATCCACCGGAGTTTGTTATAAATTTTGAACAAACATTTACTTGTATGTGACCAGATTTTCCATAGCAGTTCCCTGAAAGCTTCATCCTTAGAATTTCTAGGTGGACTCAGTTCCTAATACTGGCCATTCTGCATTTCAGTTCAGCTGTTGGCAAGTGTGTAAGATGCGCAGTTTGCAAGAGGTAATGAGCAGAATTCTTCTGTGATGCGATCTGCACTGCAGCTTGAGACTCTGCTTCCCTCTCACTGTTTTTCTGCTTAAGTGAAGTTTTGACATATGCTTGTCAAAAGAAGTTGTTTTTCCATAGCTGCCCTTCTGTTACCAGCTTCTGTACCAACCCTTGAAGATTAGGGTAGGTTCTGGATTTTCTAGGCAGACTTCAGCTGACTTTAGCATTTAGCTACAGGTATCCTGTAGAAAAACACAGGCAAACCTTTTGCCACAGTATAAATGTGTTTCTTTTGCCAGATAGGTATAGAGTCATAAACTTCCTTTGGGTATATGAGTTTAAACACACTTTTTCTAAATTTTCAGTTATACATTTTACAAACGTAGCAAGGCACATTACCATTTAACATAGATAAACACTGGAAATGCTGTCAAGCTGTGTTGTGTCCTGTTGGAAGAGGGAACACCTAAAGAGCTCAGAGCTTGGCTTTTGAGGTTAGTGGCTATTCTGAATGCTGACAGTTCCTCTGCCTCTTCTGAAGAACAATATGTTGGCCTTACTTGTGCTCCTGTTTGTCCAGAGGGGCATCATAGACAAGGGATCAAAGACTGGTTTGGAGACTTACTGGTGAATTAACGTGCAAATCAATCCTTGATGCCTTAGCAGAAATTGGCACTGAAAAAGGAGAGGATGAGTTTGGAGGAATTGGTAGTGACAATGCAAACACATTGGAATTGGGGGAACTGGCGCAGTGACAGGACTGGCAAAGATCCATTGTGTTAGGTAGAGAAACTAAAGCTGACAAGTTGAGAGGGTGAATCAAAAGATGAAAAGGACTTAAGTGCCAAGGAGGCTGACTTTGAAAGGTGCTGTAACAATATCTCTGGAGAGAGATAGCAGAGATCAGTGACCAAATGGGCAAAGAGTCTGTGACGGAGACTAGATACGGCCTGTAGTTGACTGAGATCAAATAAGAATTTTAAGGAGAGTGAGTAACCAATACTAAGGTAAACCCAGCATTCATTCCTGTTCAGTGGTCATGTTTATGGAGAGGCACAACATGATGCTGCTGGTCTGAAGTTACTCCATTAGTTCAGGCTTAAGCGACTTACATATTTAATTCAGAAGTTCTAAAGTGGCTCGTGAACAATAATGTGAATATTTTTCCTATTTCCTGTATTTTTTGTTTTCTGATTTCTAAAAAGCAGACTTGAAATTACATATGTGCTATGTTAACTTTAAATTTAGTTAACTTTTGTAGGTGCTTCCTAATTGTACATTAAAGGTCCATTTAACAAATAGCTTTTATTTTTCTTCCGTGACCTCAGCAGTAGGTATCTAGTGAAGACTGTAAGGCTAGGCAAGCCAACAGTGGTACCTTCCAAATTGTTTTGTGAGGATTAATGATTTGTTGCTCAGACTTCTGAGTGAAAAAGAGCATCATCCACCTGTGCTGTTTTCTCCCATCAGCTGGTTCAGTTGTTTTTTGAATCCATGTGAGAATGTGGCATTCACAACATCCCCTATCAGAGTGGAGACTATGCTATTTTGAGACTGTCTCCTATCACGTCCACTTAATATCACCTTGCTCTTATCTGGGAAGAAAGTGAAGTTTTTCTTACTCAGCTTTTCACGTTACTCATCATTTGAGAGACCTCACTGTCTGTCTGTCTCAAGTAAATAAAAATAAAGGAAGCAAAGCTATTTGTAGCTTCCTAGAGTCATTCACAGCAGCATGGACTTATGAAGTGGTGTAGTAATTTCCCTTGCATCTCCTACTCATTGCGCAAATATATGTGGTATTTGGGTTACCTTTTTAAAAGCTGGTGTATGGAATTAGAAATAGGAATAGGAATGGGAGGTGAATGAAAGTAGTTCACTTGGAAGAAACCTGGAATGATCATCTAGTCCAACTGCCTGATTGCTTCAGGACTGACGAAAAGTTAAAGCATGGTATTGAGGGCATTGTCCAAATGTTTCTTAAACACTGACAACCTTAGGGCACCAACCACCTCTGTTCCAGTGTTTGACCACCCTCCCAGTAAAGAAGAGGTACCTCTAGGCTCAGTAAATTTAGGGGTGAGTTTTTATTTTGAGTTGGTTTTGTACTATTTTGTACTGTTTACACCTCCAAGATACCACTTCCGAGTCTGTCAGTTACTATGTTAGATTAGGATTGTGTTTTCCCTTGCAGTCTGTGTTGAATTTCATTTGCCTTGTTCTCACTTTGCTGCTCATGAGGTAGTCCTGCAGGTTACAATCAGCTGCTTTACTCCTGGAGTAGTTTAGCACTGCCTTGTTGCCATGCCTGGTAACTCTTTCGATGAATTTAACTAGATTTGAGAATCATGATTTCCCTTTATTAAAGCATGTTGATGCTTTCCCATGATCTATTTTGTCCAATCGCAGTGTTTTTAAAAATTAATTTCATAATTATTGCATGTTATGAACAAGATTGCGTGCTGCTTCTTTCGCTATATTGTTGGGTGAGTCATGGATATTCAAGAGAAATAAGCATTTTCTAGAGCTCCCTCATTCATTTGCTTCAAACCTACAATTCGATATGAGAGGAAGAGAATAGACTGTTCGGTGGGTAAGATCGTTAAATGTTGCTCTGAAGAACTAACCTATCTTTCACTCTGTCAGAATTAGAGTTCATTGAAAAAAAAAAAGTCTGAAGCAGCTTTAATGTGTAATTTTATTATTTTCTGAGTGCCTGCTGTGAGGACTTTGGTCTCATTTGCAGAAACAATGAGCAATTTTGGCTGCTGCATGCAGGCAAAAAGCAGCTAGCTGCTTACTTTTTTGAAGTAGTTCTGATGAGGTTTAGTTTTGGGGTGTACTTTTTGGCCCTTCATTTTGTGCTTCCGTTCCCCTTTGGGAGGCAGGCAATGAAGACAACTGACACCAAAGTTGTATTTTTTTGATTAAATATTTTTATTTAACTGATACAGTAGTTACGACCTACTAGAAGAGCTTCTAGGACAATTCGCAGACCAAAATGTGGATACAATATTCGTTCTAAGGCTGCGGGACCCTGTATGTCTCTCTCACTGAAAAGGAAACAGGAAATTAACTGAATGCTCAAGAAATAAGTCCTGTCCTTTCTGCCTGTGCTTGGAGGCACATTCCAAATTTTGCAAGAAGGGAACTGTAAGGAAGAAAGGAAAAATAACAATGTCATTTTTTAATTATAGAAAATGCAATTTGTGTCCTTTCTCCAGTTCAGTAAACAAGCGACGTCGACTTGACTCCTAAAGTTTCATGGACACTACTGTGTAACTGTTTTAGAGGCTGATTCTGTACTTCAGCATGAATTATGCCACTTTATCACAGCATCATCTTAACAGTTGTAACCTACATCAACAAACAAGTATCAAATGTAGTAAAGTCATCAGTGCAATAGCTTATTTTGAAGGTATCATTTAGTGAATTGAAGAACTTTATTTCTTATATGCATTTTTATAGAAGAGTACTGTCGAGAGATCGGCTTCTGGAGTACAGGTGCATGTGTGGTTCTACTGGCAATAAAATACTTAATCTGAAAAGCAGGCGATATTTTCTTCTAATAATTAGCTTTATAGTGGCTAATCATACCTTTAAAATATTTCATTTAGTAAAGTGATCTTAAGTTGCCTCCTGGAGAGATCTTAATAAGGTTATTTTTTTCCACATATTCATGCTTCCTTACCAGCTCCCCTGATTTCCCCAAGATCTTAAAATGTTTCCTCACTTTTCCAGTCCATTTATTAAGTTCTAATACTTAAGGAGTGTTATCAGAGAAGAACAACACATATATAGTGCATAAAAGACAAATGGAAATATCTGAGGCCTCAAATGTTAGGAAGGGAGTTCTGAATTCAAGACCACAGAGTTCTGCTCTTGTGTATTCCCTTCCACCCCAGCCCCCAACTTGTAATTTAACTGTTCTCTTGGATCACAGTTGGGAAAAGCCTCGTGTGTTTAATGTTTCATTGTTTACTGAATTTTGAATTACTTCTTAGATTTTTTTTTTCTTCTACCTGTCAAATAAATACAGTCACAGAAAACTACTGTAAAGAAGTCAGTGTGTTTTAGGTGTATGAATTAGTTCATGCAGTGCCTCGCACAAAGGAGCCATGCTGTCTGCTGCAAGACTGTACTTCCATTGTGCACTATCCCTCGTGATACGCAGAGAGTTTTTATAACACCTTATTCTGGAAACATTGCCTTTTTTCCGTGAGAACCTTCTGCAGTAATCCAGTCTTGGATAGTGAGCTGATCCTGTTGACATACGCTGTACAGGGGAAAACTTTGAACCATTTTATAGTTGTTGATTATTTAGTCCTTGTTGTTTTGCAGACTGTGGTAGTGGTTGTATGAGTGTTCCAGCACCAGTATAGAAAATGTCAGATTCCAGGGGAGCTCTGGAGTTGGAGGAGCACAGGATTCACTTTTTTTGATACCACAGGAAATAAACAGATGAAGTTTGCGCAACTGTATTTCTCAGATCACTCACCTGTTTTACTGAAATAAGAAAGTAACTGAGTGATATAAAATTTTGGGGAGTAATCCAGCACTGGTACAGACCTGTGGCCCCTGTTGCCAGGCACCTTAGTTTTGAGTGTTTTTAGGACTATATGCTGTGACTTGACTGGCTGGAAACAGTCTTGTAAAACTGGTATAGATTCTTGAGTTTCAGAAGTGAGAGTGGGATGGGTAATAAGAGAGGGTAATAAGTTAACCATCGCTTTTTTAAGGAAACCGATAAACTACTTTTTTTAAAGAAAACATTTTATAATTGTGGGCAGCAATGTGCAGTACAGTCTCTGCTAGTCCTTCTGCCATCATGTAAACAGCAGGAAAAAGATTTTGTGATTGAGAAGCAGTTAAGTAACAGATGAAAGAATTCATATTTATCCATAGAACTGAGTGAATAAATAGGACCCGAAGCTGCAATGGGATCGGATTTAAGAACTGCAGAATCTCACAGAGCATGTTAGTTTGAAAAGGATGATAGGGACTGTTAGCTGAGTAGTAATTTTTGGCCGAGGATCAGATTATAAACTATAAATTATATGACTGTTAAGGGCAGGGAGGTGTACAAGCATGGTTGTGTAATGCTCCATGAGAAATCCGGTGGTTTGTGGCCAGAAATTTTGGGAACAATTTGTTCCAACATGTGACCAAAAGAGAAAACTGGAAGTATCATACTTGTGTCCCTACCTGTTTTTGTCAGTGGTAATGTGTTAAAATGCGTAGTTGATGCTACTTGATTTAATTTTGGAAATGTGGAAAGATCCAAAAATGTTGCTTGCAAACATTGGCAAGGAGAGATCTGTTCTGGTTTCTGGATTGGATGTGTCTTGGATAATGAAGAATTAGAAATTGCTACCATCTGACAGCTGCTTGATTTAAGTAAATTATTGATTTTCCTATTTAGTTTTATTTAATGTATGTCCACAGTATCAGAGGAGCCACGATAAGCAGCTGTCTTTACAGTCTTAATGGCAGGGGCAGAATTGGTGACTTAGTACCTCCTTGTAGCCTCAAGTTGAAACAGCAGCAGGGTCGTCGTGTAATGGGCAGACAACGTGACTGTTGAGCTTTGGGACACTTCAAGGGCTCATGTGTTGAGCTTAGCACTAAACTAATGTGTTAGTACAAGAGGTGGCTTGTAGAAGGATGGAGCAGACTGCACAGCATTAATGGTTAAATTTGCTTAAATGTTGCCTGTGCTCCTGCTCTGCTTTCTGGTAGTCTGCTGTCTTTGTCTGGCATGTGCGTGTCGCTGTCAGTGATAGTCACTATGATGCCTTCTCTTTTGAGCCACTTATTCGACACCAGTCAGTGATCTGACTGAAGAGTGTATCTCAAGAGGTCACTGTTTGGAACAAAGCTATGCTCTGTGACGCCTAGTAGGCATCTCCTCTACTTGCTTCTTTTCGTCTTTATGTATCTGCTTGGTGAAAATAGTTAACTGTAAGGTTTGAGCTTTTGTCTTCCAGGAGGTTATTTCTGTCAGCTTGGATTCTTTTGGTGTGAGAATTCTGCCTTGGCTTTATCAAGCAGAACACACTCATTCTGCAGAGTGCTAGAAATCCTTGCATACCTGTAATTATCCAAATTACTGTGGAGGAAAATTTTATTACATTAAATACAAGTATCTAATTATGAGTTATATTCCTTTTTTTTTACAGTGGGTTGTTCGTTTACTTTAACCATTTGCTCATTTACTTTCTGATAAGGTGAAAGACTATTTTAGGTACTCCTTTTTTCATCTTCTTCCCTGGACGATTACATATTCCTCCAAAATTCATAACATTTCTTGTGTACTTCCTTAAGAAGAAGCATTTGTATTTACAGAAGAGAGCATATTTGCCAAGATGTTAAGCTTATCAATCCATGTGAGTCCTTGTATGTCAATTTTTGCTCCATTCCCTGTGAAGCACAAGTTTTATGATATGGACCAAAAAGGGCAGATTCAGTGGTTATTCACCACTAAATCCTTTTGCAGATGGTTATTTCATGATTTATTTTTTTTTAAAAGGCTGCTTCTGTTTCTTTGCAGTCACTCTTGGAAGCACATGATATTGTGGCTTCAAAATGTTACGATTCCCCTCCTTCTAGCCCAGAAGTCAATAATTCCTCAGTGAACAACCAGATTGTTCCAGTAGATGCTATTCGTATCCTTGGAATTCACAAAAGAGCAGGAGAACCACTGGTAAGTAATTATAGAATCATAGAATCATTAAGGTTGGAAAGGACCTCTAAGATCGTCAAGCCCAGTCATCAACCCAACATGACCATGACCACTAAACTATGTCCCAAAGTGCCACATCTACATGTTTTTTGAACACCTCCAGGGATGGTGACTCCATCACTTCCCTGGGCAGCCTGTTCCAGTTGAAGATCAGCGTGTCTTTAATTTAAAGCGTGAGTTAAAACATTTGCGTGTGCCTAATTTCTTGCATTATGTTTTAATTATTTCCTTTATTCTCCTGTGTAATTTAATGGGTGATAGGATCAGTATTGAGAACTTGAAATACAAAGATATTTGTGTGCTGTCCATCTTGTTCTCTCTGAGAAATTATGAGACAGTGAATGGGCAGTCACTAGGCTGAAAGACTTGCAAGCATAACTGGCTAACGCAACATCTTGTGTGGTTCTGATACACAGTGACGGGATTGCGTGTGTTCAGGAACAACATCGTCATTGTTCAGTTGTATGAAAACCTTGTCTGAAAGCACTTTTGTGTCACTTGACACCTGTATATTAGGAACTCTTACACTGTAGTAACTATTACTGTCTGTTTTCATTGGGGTAAATAAAACGTCCCACAGCTGTATATTTTTACTTGAGATAATGGTCAAATGAAATTGAAATTCAAACAACGGTAAACTAGGTGTCACCTGCTTCTTTCAGGGTGTTACGTTTAGAGTTGAGAACAATGATCTGGTAATAGCACGAATTCTTCATGGTGGAATGATAGATCGACAAGGTCTTCTGCATGTAGGTGACATTATTAAAGAAGTGAATGGCCACGAGGTTGGAAACAACCCAAAAGAACTGCAGGAACTGCTGAAGAATATTAGTGGCAGTGTCACTCTGAAGATTCTCCCCAGCTACAGAGACACTGTTATCCCTCAACAGGTCAGTAGCACATTTCTAACAATTCTGTCAAAAGAACCTCTGCTTTATTACGTAAGATTATTTTTTAAGAGTTTTGGATTAGACATACTTTGATTATTTTGTGTCTTTAATGCTAGCAGGAAGGCTAAAATACAGATACCTGTATTCACCTTCAAGAACATTTTGAAAATGGGTTTATTTGGTAGGTTAATACCTCACCTAATATGCCCGTCTAAAAACTGCTAATTAGTATCTAAGATTGATAAGCATTTGTATACTACATATAAACCATGTTTCGACATGCAGTGACCTCTGATGACCTAGCCACAATCACACCTAACTGCAGTGAATTGCGTGTCTTTATACATGATCACTGTCCAAGTAATCTGCTTCACAGAATTCAGGGACATACTGAATTAAACAGATGAGCTTAAACTCCCTGACTTAAGTAGGAACGTGGATGGTGGCTATTCCTTATCCTTTTGTTGTTGCTGTAGGCTGTCAATTTCTCTGCTGTCGAAGTAAATTATTGCTCTAAATCAGTGCCTTTGAAACGTCTTGTAAGACACTCCACTCCTTCAGGTAGTGATCTTAATGTCCGTGACTATAACAGACTTGGCTTAACACTGAGTAGATGCTGAGGGAATGTGCTGTATCTGGGGCAGGGCGCTGCTTCCTTTGTTCCCCAACCTCACAGAAAAAAAATCAAAGATGCTTCCAGCTTACTGATGCGACTTACTGTTTCTTCCCCTGCATCAAATTTGAGTCTTAAGCAGTCACATATCTTACGTGTTTTAAAACATTGGGTTCATGGCAAAAATAATTCGTAGGATTCCACAAGCCTTGAAAACAGTGCTCACATTCTGAGATCGTTTTTGTATTTTTAAGTAATTTAAAGCCAGGATACTGAGTTGTATATACTGAAATGCAAAAAATTAGTGTTTTTATAATACATTGTCCAAATAGAATACTTGAGGTTTTATTTCTATCATGAAGCTACTTCAGCCAAGGTTTACACTGCTAATTATTCTACTCTCTCAGCTGGTATATGCCAGTTTTTTCTGTACATCGTATTTTACTTGCCAAATGCAACTTTAATTATGTCAAACTTTTTATGCTGTAGGTAGAGACATTAATTCAGTTTGACAGATAAATTAGTAAGAATGTATTATATAATGTTTAAGCTTTGTAAATTTTTACGCATTTCAGGTTTTTGTGAAGTGTCATTTTGATTATAATCCGTATAATGACAACCTCATCCCATGCAAAGAAGCAGGTTTGAAATTTTCTAAAGGAGAAATTCTTCAGATTGTAAACCGAGAAGATCCAAATTGGTGGCAGGTTGGTATAAAGTTTTTTTAAACTAATAAAACCCAAAAAGCTCTACTAGTTGCCTTATAAATGCTTTAAATTGTGATCTACTTCCATTTAGCAGTAGATATAAGAAAAAATATTTTCACTGCAATCCAATTTCAAGCAAATATCAAGATCCTAACAATTGAAACACTAGAGAAAATTGAATGGTATAAACTGTATACATAAAACTCATGTTGCTCTTACTGCTATTTATTTGTCTTTGTTGTTGTATCATAAACCTAGGCATTCCAAAATCAGTTTTAAGTGGAGAATTTCTAGCAGAAAGTCTTAGTTTGACTGTGTTAATTGTGGTAAGCCTTCCCTGACAGCTACTGTGGAAGAAGTGGACCCCTTCCTGAGTGCTCAGAGTTGAGGAGAGAGAGAGGGAAATTAACCATGTGGATTTGAAGAGGGGTGAGAATAGCTGTTTGGAGAAGCTGTATCTTTTATTTCTGCAGTGGTGGTCAGTGTCTGTGAGCTGTAACATGCATGTTCATAATCAAAGTGTTTGGCACTATTTCGAATATTAACAGTTCATCCTGCTTTTAAGGTTGTATTTCCACATTTAGTCCTTCAATAGAAATGTAATCCAGTGCTTAATGCTATTTTTCGTTTTTCTAAGACACTATACAAACAACTGAAAATCATCAGTGCCTTTGAAAGTGGGACAAGTGAACCTTTAAGAGACTTTCTCAACCGAAATACTCAGAATTGCAAGAGGGAATGGCAATCTGGCAGAGTTTAGCATTATTCCCTTTCTATCTCTAAATTGCTCACTCTTTGCCAGTAACAATACTGAGCTAAATGTTACTTGAGAGCAATATATATATATAAATGACTTCTTTAAAACCAGCAAAAATATTTGAATATACATCAACAACTGTTGCTAAATTCTGTTGTTGCTTGTCAGTAACAGTAAGAAAGAGAATAAAATGAAGAAAGGCAGAAAACTTACTACTGCCAAGTTATGTAGTTTCAGAAGTTAGACACTCCAAAACTCCGGAGTAGTTTGACATTTAGCTTACTTGCTGTTTTCTGTATTGCTTTTCAAATTCTCCAGTTGTAACTTGTGGGAGTCCAGGAGAAATAAAACTTAAACACTCTATCAGTGGTAAAAATGAAATGCATTAAACCAGTGCAGTGTGTTGCAAGTATTGCTATGCAGATCATGCCACTGGGCAAAAAAAAAAGTTATTTTTTCCTTGTGGTTTCTGGAATTGCTAGACTGTTACTGAAAAATTGCTCACTATAAAAAAATCAAGTTAGTCATAGGTAAAAGCATACAAGTCGAAAAGCAAACAGTTCCTGTTAACAAGAGACAGGCCAACCAATTAACGGAGAAAAGTAGTAACATTTTCTAACTGTGTGTTTGTATGTGTTAAGCTTGCTGAGAAGTGAGCTTGCCATGAAACTATTTTACAGAGAATCTTAGCCAAACTTGGATTACTAGGGATACTTAAGTTAGTAAGGTTTTAAATCTGTAGTTATTTAGTGCAAAAAATTTGAAGACGGGACTAGGCATGTGTTACTGACATTCACTGTGTAATGGTAGTTTATAAGCTGCACTGGAACCTTTTTGGAGCAGCTCAAGAATAGAAAAATAAGTGTACTGTGTACTAGAAAGTCCTGAGTTGTGTCGCTTGAGAGTTCAACGTCTGGAGCCATAGAATTCCCTTCAGTATTTTGATGCCAAAAGTTTATGGCTCTAGGAGCTTATTAACTTAATGGAAATCAGTAATGAATCTTGTATCTGTTTTAGTTAAATTTCCTGAATTTTAATACTTAATGACAAGATACTGTTACTATAAGACAGAGTTTTAATATCCACGTTTGAGTTTCTAAGTTTTAGTAGTAAATGTGTCAGTACTCACCACTGAGAAGCTCTGGCAGTGTGAAAGACAGTCAACACAATATTGATGAGAAATATGCTTCTCACAGGTCACCTATGATTTTTTTATTTTTATTTTTTGCAGGCTAGTCATGTCAAAGAAGGGGGAAGTGCAGGGCTTATTCCTAGCCAGTTCTTGGAAGAGAAGAGAAAGGCCTTTGTTAGGAGGGACTGGGACAACTCAGGTGAGATTTAACAAATTTCAGGAACAGTTTTTGCTCTGACTCCATTTGTTTTGCTTTTCCTGCCTTCATCAGTACTAGAAAACTGCTGCATGAGAATACATAGATTATTGCAAAATGCTAATTATTATATTTTGGCTGTGACTGAAGGACAAAAGCTAAAGTCTGTGCTTAGTCTTCACAGGTACATTAATCGCTTTTGCCACCTGCTGATGAAAAACTAAATGAAGTGGGGAAAGCATAAGAATTTGCTCTTTCTTTAAATTATGTTTCTATAGTATGCACTGAAAGTTAATTGACTGAACTTGTTTGGATTTTTCTGCTGCTTTTTACAAAGCTTTCCAGGAAAATTACTTTTTTTTCTGTGTGCTTGGTTCTTACTATACCATTTGAAGGGTATGAAAATAGATGTGATCTCCTGTCCTAGAACATAAAATTTTAAAACAGTCCTTGTAAATTTAATTAATCTAAACATCCATATGTTCACATAAATAAGCTTTGAAAAAACACATTTAACAAAAATGATGAGTTTGTCTCTCTTTATTCTAGGGCCTTTCTGCGGAACAATAAGCAGCAAAAAAAAGAAAAAGATGATGTATCTCACTACAAGAAATGCAGGTATCTCTTAATGTTATATATGAGTGAAAATTCTCTAGGCTTCTAGACTTGCAGAGTCTATAGTGTATCCAAAGCTATAAGATTTGCAATAAAATACTTGATTATGAATTTGATAGATCAAATAGTTTTTATGGTTTAAAAGCCATAGTGACCAGCAAAGATGTGGTGGTGCCGAGTACACCTTTTGGTAAATGGAAGTCAGATAAAAATTGTGTGTTAAAAGAGGAAAAAAGTGAAAGCTTCATTGCCAGCAGGCTGAGGGATGTGATCCTTCCCCTCCACTCTGTGCTGGTGGGGCCACACCTGGAGGATACTGGGCTTCTCCGCAGTGCAGGAGAGATGAGGACGTGCGAAGATGAAGGGACTGGGGCATCTCTCCTGTGAGGAAGGGCTGAGAGAGCTGGGGCTGTTCAGCCTGGAAAAGGCTCTGCGGGATCTCATCTGTGTGTACCAGTACCTGAAGGGAGGGTGGCAGCAGGACAGAGCCAGGCTCTTTTCAGTGGTGCCCAGTGACAGGACCAGAGGCAACAAGCAGCAACACAGGACGTTCCCTCTGAACATCAGGAAACACTTTTTCACTGGGAGGGTGACTGAGCACAGGCACAGGTTGCCCAGAGAGGTTGTGGAGTCTCCTTCCTTGGAGCTACTCAACAGCCGCCTGCATGTGGTCCTGAGCAGCCATCTCCAGGTGGCCCTGCCTGAGCAGGTGACCTCCAGAGGCACCTTCCAACCTCAGCCTCTTTGTGATTATGTGAAAGCTCACTAATTGTTAATGACAGTTTTACCACTCTGATCAATCCTGAATTTCCTCCTTGGAAGTAAAGGTAATAACCTGACATTGTGCTGTCCGTGAAGGGGTAATTATTTTATTTCCATACCAGTTTAAAGCACAAAAGCTCATATCAGACTTTGAGTACTATATTCGCATATAGTCTGTTGATATATAGCTGCTTTTTTTTTCTCCTTACAGTACTGACTGTGTATTAACTATTTTTTGTACATTTCTCAATGTAGAATTTGATCGTCATGAAATCCAGATCTATGAAGAAGTAGCCAAAATGCCTCCTTTTCAGAGGAAAACACTGGTCTTAATTGGGGCCCAGGGAGTGGGGCGAAGAAGTTTGAAGAACAGGTTTATAGTACTGAATCCTACTAGGTTTGGAACTACAGTGCCATGTAAGTTGTTGGCATTCCTATTGCAGTATCGGGGTAGGAGTAGTTTTGTTGGAGCATAAAAATTGTATAGAATGGGGAAAGGAAAGGTTCTTCATCTTATGATGACAGTGAGAATATTTGTACTTAGCAGTTAAGTGTTACTGATGCTGCAGAAAAGGCAATTTCTGTATGTGCAGTACCTCAGTCTGCAGGGTTTCTCTGCTGTCAGTCACTATCAGCTACTGAGGAGATTCTAGAAGTTCCTTATAGTCTTACGTAATGAACAGCCAGTGGAGTTTGTCAGCTCTGCTGTTCAGAAAATCTTCCATCCGTAGAAGCATCCTAGGCATTACAGATTGTTACTTTAGAAGTAGAAATGAAGGGAGAAGCAACAAACTTGAATAAATCTGATGTGTTTGTGATCTCCGGGTTTTGTATGATAATCTGATATTTTAATACATCTAGCATCAGGCCCGTGGTCTTTCTTTTTCATTCCCTGTGGACTTCAGAAGAAAACCTCCTCCCTTACTGAAATACCGTTTTCTTGTCTTCCTTCCAGATAGTTACTTTGTTCATTCACAACATGTTTATTTTTTTAACTGCCCCCTCCTGTCTGACTGCTGACCAGAGAAGTCCAGCCTTGCCTACATTATTATTCTCTTGCTACCTGCTTTTCAGAATTTCAAAACCAGTCTGTTCCCCCTTTTTTTTTTGTTAGCGAGCAAGGAGTAGGTCTGATAATAGGGGAGGGACAGGTGTGAAGAGTAAATGGTGCAACACGAGAGAACCAGTCTCTCTCATTTGTTGAATCTCTAACACCAAAGCGGGCCAGAACTGGTGTGTGGGACTGATAACAAGGATGACTTTTTTTAAAGAGATCTTCCCCTGGAAATCTCATTATTTTCTTATTATTTTATCAATATAAACTTTTCATTACTTATAAAATATTCCCTTTAAAATCAAAAATTACTTTTTTCTCTAAAATGCTATATAGATGCTTATGCATGTGCCTATATAAGTAGTACAACACTGTTAAAATGCTTGAACTTGGAGCTCTTCAACACCCTTTAAAGGCATAAAAATTAACTTTTCCAACCAAGCAATCTGACATTCTAATCACACACATGCAGTACGTAGTTTATTATATACAGAACCTCCTCTTTGCATTTAGATTTGGAGTACGAGAATCAGTAATCTTAGCTGGCCTCAGATTCTTTGATTAGAAGGAAATTCTTCCAATTATTCACAAATGAGTATGTGTGGGGTTTTTTATTGGGGCTTGGTTTTGGTGTGGTTTTTGCTGTTTGGGGTTTTTTTGGTGGCTTTAATAAGCAAATGGGCGGGTAAGCAGCATATAGGAAGGAATAGAAATAAAGAGAACAAGAAGGGCTGTGCTCGGTTTTGAGATTTAGTCTAGATAATTAATCTATATATGGAACAATTATAATTGTATACTCACGTGTATTATACTCTTACCCTGACTTAACAGGCAGTCCGGTCTTACATATGTATTCCAAATATCAAAAGAAAACATTAATTGCTATTTTAAATATTTTGTTTAGTTACTTCACGGAAGCCAAGGGATGATGAAAAGGATGGACAAGCGTACAGATTTGTGTCACGAGCTGAAATGGAGACGGATATTAAAGCTGGCAGATACTTAGAGCATGGAGAATATGAAGGAAATCTTTATGGCACCAAAATTGATTCCATCCTTGAAGTTGTTCAGACAGGAAGGACCTGCATCTTGGATGTGAATCCACAGGTATACTGCTTATTACAGCGTAGAAACACAATGTTGAAGAGGTTTTGTCTTTTAAATTTGAAGACTTCTTATCTAGTTTAAAAATTACAGTATCAGCTGGATTCTTGAATTTGTGGCACTTACTTGGAATCAGTTAGAAAGATGGAAAAAAGCAAACTCAGACTCTGCATGGAAGAGTCGTCTTGCAGAGTAGTAAATAATCTCTTTAGCCAAGGAAGGAGTTTCTAAAAACAGAAGTAAGAATCTTTTCTCATGTGTTTCTGCCCATTGTAACAGAATAGTTTTGCAGTGCCCCTTTAAGTAACGGGAACATGTGGTGACTCATTCTGAAACTTAGGTGTTTGGTTTTATTTTTTTATTTGCTTCTAGGCACTGAAAATACTGAGGACTTCAGAATTCATGCCCTACGTAGTGTTTATTGCTGCTCCCGAGTTGGAAACTTTGCGGGCGATGCACAAGGCTGTGGTAGATGCTGGAATTACAACCAAACTTCTCACTGTAAGCAGATTATTTCATATTCAGTTTGATTTGAACAGGATGTTCTTAGATATTTTATTTTTTTTACCTTTTAGATGGAATTTGTTCTGGAACTCATGTCTTTTATTAAGGTTAGGCAAGACTTTTGCTGATTACTTAGTAGAAGTTAATCAAATAGCATGTATAAGGCAGAGTGCTTCTTTCTTAAAAATAGGCCTCTTAAAGGAGAAGTGTTGATTACAAAAATTACTTGTCATGTTTCTTTGGAAGTGCCATCTTTGATTTGTAGAAAATAGCAGATACTTGGTATTGGTAATTGCCCTTTCTGTAGATGTCTTTCCTTCACTTTTGCCATGTCTCCCCCCGAAAAAAGTTTTGTTCAGGTTTGTCTTATATAGAAGCTCTAATTCTTAGGGTTGACACTGCAGCCTGCGTAACAGTCCCAACCAGCCAGGAACAGAGTGCAGCTGGGCCGTGCTGCTGCTGCACATGCTGCACCGAGAGTGGCCGGGAGCTGCCAGAATAAGAAGTGTTGAATAGCTGCCCATCCCCTTAAGGTCCTTGGATTTATCACGCAAAGCGAAGTGGCACATTTTCCTCATTTAGATCTTCTTTCCTTTTCTGAGGCACAGTGTGTAGCAGAGGGAACTAAGGCAGTGCAGCAAATTGTGAATATTCTGGACAGGCATGAACTTTCCCAGCTGCAGGACCAAAGCAAGAAGAGCCAGACTGAGCAGTTAAAAAAACACCCCTATCCTCTGTGCTCTGCAGTACACCTTCCCCAGCTGAGCAAAGCTGTGCTTTGCTGACAGCTCACACGGGTAGTGCTGCAGCTTAGATAGCAATGCCCAGGGGGCATTCAAAGCAATAAATTTGGCAGTGGGTTAATTTTCACTAAATGAATGTAAGATTTTTAGTCTTACTTTCTTCCACTTCTTTTCAAACCTCTGAGGTCCCATCCTCTTAACCATGGGAGAGACTGCCCAGTCCTAGACGTAGATTCTTGTCTTGGCCTTACAGGTTCTAGTAGCTCTGTGGATGCTCCACCTTTCCTTCTCCCTGCTCCAACTGAACCCTGAATTTTGTGATGTATATACAAGAAGGCAAGGTTAAAACTGTCCAGACAAGTGTAAAAACAATTTTCTTCACTTCCTAGTATTTGATTCCCTAAGGGACATCCTCACCTTTGTTTTGCTTGTCCTTATGAATAATGAAGAGGATAGTTATATTTAAAACATAGCTTTATGTATCTGGGCAGATTCTAAATCATATCTGTACACATGTACATACAGAGTATGATTTCTCATTTCATATTCCTGTACTTCCTGAACAAATGAAAACCAAATTTCATTTAAAGTACTACTTTCTACTTGCCAGTGGGTTTGTACATTATTTCTAGCATCCTAAGCCATTCCATTGCAAAAATTCTGACTCTTGTGGTGACACATTTGCTTGTCTCCTTCATTTATTCTGAAAGAAAGGCTATTCACTTGTTTTCTCATTTTGAAAATACTAAAATAAATATCGTCAAGGGGACAAATCTCATAACCGCTTACAAAAATTGCTTTTGTGCAATACAGAGGAATTTTCTCAGAATGTAGGAGTACTGAAACTTCAAAAAGTGCTTAGTGGCACTATTTTATGAAGACTTAATAATGTACGAATATAATTTGTGCAGCTTACGTCTGAACTAAAATAATGCAGCAGTGGTTTACAAATGAGGAACTGAGGTCAGGTGAGCAAGGCTGAAATGTAACCTCTAAAAGCAATAAGGTATTGTAGAGCTTTATTCCATTAGAATCGTATGTTTCATTGTCTTTCATTTCATACCAAGTTAGATTGTTGGATTTTTTGGTGCTTTCTGTGGAAATAAAAAAGGGCACAAATAAATGATTGATTCAGTTGTGCCTAAAACACAAATTTTATTCTGATTGGATCGTCAGTTGCACATACAAAATGATTAACTGCCTGTTGTGCATACCAGCCCAAGTTCATGTGCTTCTAGTGCCTTGCTTAAAAATTGCAAGATTTGTAAACATTTAGTTCCCATAGTTGACATAACTAGCACAGCTCACAACTTTTTCAGCCCTTTCAATGCATTTTTGCTTAAGTTCTGTCTGGATTTACTGTAATTATATATATATAAAAATAACTTTAATTATTTTTAAAACATGCTTGGAATATATCTTCTGGGTCTCAATGTGTAATGAAGGGCCGCTTTTTCTGTATTTATAAGAATTTGCTGAGAGTTACAGTCTCGGTAACCTTTAAAATCTCTTCAACAGGACACGGATTTGAAAAAAACAGTGGATGAAAGTGCACGGATCCAGAGAGCGTACAACCACTACTTTGATCTGACCATTGTAAATGACAACCTTGACAAAGCCTTCGAGAAGCTACAGACTGCCATCGAGAGACTGAGGCTGGAGCCGCAGTGGGTGCCCATCAGCTGGGTGTACTGAGGTTTCTCGGGAGGAGCTCAAGTAACAAACAAAATCAGCTGCAGCAAACACGCTCGCGTGATGTGTAGATACCGACGCTAACCTACGGCACCTGTGCATTTTTAATCTGTGTATATTCCAAAGTACACTATTCTGAATTTTTATAAAAATGTTAGAAGGGAAAGTGTACTTAAATATGTAATTTATTTTAATTTTTCTAACTTTTTACAGATAACCTTTCTATTCATATCACATGAAGGAAATGCGTTTAAGCATTTTTATATGTTTTGATTTAGTACCTTTGCCTTTTTCATCTAAGAAACTTTCAGTCATTCACTTCAGCATTTACATCTTGGTCTTACATTTTCACTGTGATTAAAAAAAGGATACTTGAAACAATTTTTGTAAAACTTGTTAATGTCAGTGTTTAACTGGTCAAAAGTCTATAGCTCTTATTAGGAAAAAACACTAATTTCTTTGTTTTTTTTTTCTTCCTTATAAAAGTAGTAATTTCATGGGAGCAGAATTTTAAATATTAAAAGCAGCAACCAACACACAGCTCCATTGCTCCAGCTTCTTTTGGCTTAATGTTGGTGCATTCTTGATATTTCAGAAATTCTTGATGTCTCTTGATTTAGACAACTGTTGTGTAGGTTCCCTTATACATGTCTCTTACAGTCACGTAAAGCAATACCTTGCGAGCTGCTTCCTAGGCTGTTCTCGGGAGCCGACCTGTGAGCCTCTTACGGCTGAAGTACCGTCATTAGAAAGTTTGTACCCAGGTAATTCAGTGCAATTTGAGTAATGGTGAAGTAGCCTGAGAGCGAACCTCATGACATGGAGCCTTGTAGAGCAATGCTTAATGTTTAGAACTATTGATTCACATTTGTGAAAACACATTGTTTTTTAAAAAAAAAAAATTAAAAAAAGGCTTTTTTTTTTCTTAGGACATCATTGTTTGATATTTGTGTAGTGATCTGTGGCTTAATTTCCTGTGATATCTAGCTTGGTTCTATATTATATTTTTGAATGTTTATGTGTGATCAACTGCTGTATTGTTACGAGTGTGATGTAATGGACTTTCTGTGCTTTTCCTTACATTATTTTTAACTGCATTTTTCATTAGATAGCTTGTGAATTGGAAGCTTACTGCTAAAAAGCAATGTTGTTTATATTTTTGTTTTAAAACATGTTTCCTTTTGCTTAGTGACAGCACTCCCTTTAGGAGGGTCATTGATATAATTCCTGTTAGGTTCATCGATCAAAACTGGCGCTGATGTAAATTTCTGCTTAACAAGAACAAAAAGAAAACATAACTTGGCGCTAAGACTAGTGCTTTCTGTGACCGTATTTTATATCACCATGTCAGCTGTTGTACATAGCAGCACTCTCTATTGCTTACCAGCTTTGGTGTCTAAACTGAAGTTGTCTGTTCGTTTAATTTCTCTTCCATCTGGTGACAGGCACCTGGCTTCTGAATTTGTTTTCAACACCCCAGTGTGACATGGAATGCTATTAAAAAGCACATTCCTCAGAACTATTGCTGAAGGGAAGGAGGCTTAGACACTAGAACGGTATTGCTTCCTGGGGCTCTTAAAGACTTTAATGTGCACAAGGAAAAGAAAAATGGAGTTGATGCAGTATAGGAAACGCCTAAGTCTCAAAAAACCAAACCTGAAAACACCTGTATGCTACAGGTAATTTTTACAAAGCCTATAAAGTTGGTTGGGGTGAGGGAAAAGGGCTCGGGCGGGGTTCAAGATCCCCTCGTACATGGGAAAATGTTAGTGGGACCCGTGTATAGCACGGGTACTCATCTTGGCTCTTAAGAGTGAGAGTTCCATCTTTTAGAGGGAATCTGAAGTTCTCTACAGAACATTTATACCACTACTTTTATTGTTACACTTTTCAGGATGCGTTTGCTCTGGTTTTGTTTAAGTTAAGTTTGGCAGAGTTGTGAAGCGTGGCACCAGCATGAGACTTCTATTTTCCTTTCCCAGGTGACAGGGCAGTGAGCCTGTCGCTCAGAGGCTGCTTTGAGAAATGGATTGAGTGGTGTGTGCAGCTGCAGTGACAGCAGAGCCATTGCCTGACTGGTTTAAGGATTTGCTATTGGCACTCTAGGCTGAATGGGACTGAACTGTGTTTGAGAGACCTACGTACGCTGTAAATAACGTGCTCTTTGGACAGATATGATGCCTTTTTGTTATGAGTTAGAAAATACTCCCTTTATGATGCCAAAAATGGGCTGAGCTCACTGTTCCCTAGTGAATGGAAAGAAACTATTTTTGGGATTCCACACCATAGTACTTTATATTGCAAATATCACTTATTTTTATTTTTTCCATAGACTTACTTACTTAACCAAATGAAACACAGGCACCAACGTTTAGGGAGGAAACCCTCTCTCCTCCTTCTCTTTCCATCCCAGGGAGAACACTGTCAAAACCGCCTCCCTGGTTACCAATCTCCAAACAGCCACGTATTTCCTAAGGCCAAAAGCTTTTGCTTTAGGTTCATGCAGTGTTTTTAAACGAGGCAGCACAGGGGAGCCCAGTGGCTGACTGGGTGGTGCTGTTAATGTGGAGGAGAAGAACAATTTTGAAGCAGCAAGAGAAGATGGCTTGTTTAGGTTGCACGCAAAGAACGTATCACAGTGTCTGCAGGTTTTAACTCAAGGTCCGTATGCAGATTGTAAGGGGAGAAAAAGACCCCTCAAACCCAAAGACCCTTGTATCTGTACACTAAATCTTGAAGATTCAGAGTTCTGACTGGCAGCTGTATAATGTTGGGAGGGGAGGAGATGGTTGGTTTTTGTGGTGGTTTTGTTTTGGTTTGGGTTTTTTAGCAAAATCAGGTTGTCATCAGATACTCCACTTAGTTTGTCACTGCCCAGTGGCAGGATGACTAGAATGATAGCGACAGTTACTTTTTTTAAGAAAAAGCATTCTTGGAGGTTCTTAGGGAGATGGTGCCGTTTCGGTCACATACACCACGGCGACAGTCTCTGCCTGCGAGGGTATATACTCAGTGAGCTGTTAGACAGACCCCTGCCCGTCATGTGGGTAGGGACGAAAGGCTGGCTGTAAGCAGGTGATAATACTTCAGCTACAGCTGTTTGAAGTCTTTTGGAGCAGTTACAATAACTAGGATGTCATCTATCTCATTCTGTACTAAACATTCATTTTCCAGATACTAACGGGAAAACTTTGCACATTGACCATTAATGCTAACAATAGGTGTGTCTGAGCGAGGTGAAGATGCTGCTAAATGTTTAAGATATGTGGTATGTATCACAAGATAAATATTTAAGTAGTTTAGAAAAGTAAATTATCAAGTAGTTGTCCGTGTATATGTATGTATGTGGATGGTAAAACAGAAATGCTCATGTCTGCTATCACATTACTAAGCTGCCATGACTTAATCCAGAAATGTACCTGCATGTGAGACTTTAGAACTGGTACACTTCTCTACCTGGTTTATTGTATTTACTAATGTATATTTTTCTAAATATACAGATATTTCAATCTAAATTCTATATTTATCTGTAATTTCTATCTGTTTTGGACAGTGCATGAAGTGCTGTAAATTCTGTACATACGGAGACTTATAGAAGAAACGCTGTAGTTGCCCTGTGAATGAAAAGTTATACATAAAAGTACAGTCAGTATGCTAAGACCCGTAAGTTATTTCCCTAAATGCACCAAAAATTTCCTTACATGTGCATCAGTCTCAACTTTAGTGTAAATACTTTGGTGCACATGTCCCCAAGTGATTACCTTGCTGTCTCTAAATATCACCCTAGCAGGTCTGCTTTAGGTTCTACATTGTGTGACAAGATGCAGGTCAATTAAGTTTAGGGTAATGGGATAGGTCATCTTGCACAGATTTATGAAGCTCTTTCAGAATATTCTGCAAACAGAAAAAGAAGGTAAAATTGGAGCAGAATCACAGACCGATGTAGGCAAAGGAAATCCTTAACTTGTGCCGTGTTCTCAGAGCAGCGCAGCTCTGCGTACTTAGTCGTACGGGTGTTCTGTGGATGGCAGATCAGCTCATCACTTTCGAATTTCTGTTTGTATAATACAAACTGTCACATCTTGGACAGGCTCAAAGTGTGACACTGTTCCCAGGCTTTGTACAATTCTAACTCATTGCATCTCCTAAACCCGTACCTCAGTGACTTGCTGTACAAACTGCCTCCAGGTCAGTGTTCAGGAAGTCATCTGGGGTTTTGGTTTTCATTTTGAAGAGGATGATTCAGATAATAAATAGGAAATTTCTTGAGACATACAAAATTCCTGGCTGGGTACCCCGTGGAGCCAAGCTTGCTTCTCTGCTACGCTTAAGGACCGGTAGAGAATGATCCAAGTAGAGCCTCGCAGCGGAAATCAGGAGACGTGGGGTGTTACCCATCTTCCTGTTCACAGCTCATGTGTAAATAAACTCAACTTTACCTCTTCCTTGGTTCCTCATCCATGCTTCCTCTGTCTTGCTTCTCCATTCAGACCGAACGTAGAGGCAGATGCTGTTTCTCGGTGCATCTCTAGTGCCTACTGCAGTGGATGGATTTCCCCGTCACTTGCTGTGCCTGTAGGTGCAGCTTTAAGACAAACGACAGGTGGAGGTTGGTTGCATCTGTCACACAAACGTTTCTTTCACGCAGGGTTTCTTGCCTCACCCACATCTGGATTTCAGTTAAAGTAGCTTTATTGCCAAACTTCACATTCCTACTTTTGCTAAAGTGGTGACACCAATTTACAGATGTGTACGTAGTGGTTATCGGGTACTTGTAGTCTGCTCGGCCTCTTGCCTTAAATACCTCCCTGCTCTCAGTCCCGACAAAAAAAAACCTGCTCCAGGGCCACTGAAAGGATTTCTGTAGTTAAAGTTCCCTTTGCTTTCTCTAGTGGGCTGTCATTACCAAAGGCAGCACAGTGACATCCCAGCCCAGTTTTTTAAAATTTTTTTTTTCCTGGGTTTCTTTTTTTTGTTTTTTTTTTGGCCTGACCTTGGTTTTCATGTATGTTTATCAAGCTAACTGATGGGAATAGTCAGAGATTCTCAACTTGTGTCTTGTAGAGGAAATAGTGGTCAGTATAAACATCAGTGTTTAAGACTGGTATAACTTAGTGGTTTTGGTCTGAAGACAGATACTTAAATAAAAAAAATAAATAGTGAAAACACTTGTAAAATAACAATTTTTCAGAGGCAGCTTTGGCTTCCAAACACATGGAAAGTGCACTCATGTGCACACGCATGTATTAATAAAACTATGGGGTATGTACCGCAAGTAATTCAGATGGTATCTGCTAATTTACCTGATTCCTCTGTGGTGGAAAAATGTTCCGCAGAGCGTCACATTTTGAATTCTCTGTTCATTCGCTGGTACCGCAGCTGGAATGTACCTGTGGAGACTTAAAAACAAACTCCAGCTTGGTGAAGGCTGTTAAGCACTTTCAGCTGCAAACAGAATTGTTTATTTTCAGCAGGGTCTCAGCAGTAGTTATATTTTATAGAATAAATTACACTTGAAGTAAATGTGAATTTTATTCTTGGTATTTTTAACCCTTTCTCTTGGTAGCTGGCTATGGGGGTCCTTTCGCTGCTAAGGCAGTGACTGGATGTAGAATTCCTCCTGACCCACCTGCAAGGCTAACCTCGTTAACGTAGTCCAGGAAACTCTTTCTCCCATTTGTCCCTTTTCCTTTTAATGTCATTAGCTCTGTGCTAATGCTTGTCCATGGGGAACGGCTGATCCGGGTATTACTCCAGAAGCAGCCAAATTTACCTATAATAGAGTGAAAACCTCTTCCAGAAACCCAAGTAACTTCTCTTGTTATTTGACACCTCGTACAGGATACGTAGTGTAGAGCAAAACGACCGGCGCTGCTTTGTACAGTCCTGGGGTGGCAGCAGAAATGTAGGCTGCAAAAAAAAAAAAAAATTTATTTTTGTTGGGTTAGGTCTTGTACACAATTATATATATGGAGATAATTGTTGAAATGTATTTCCCCCCCTTTGGAGCATTTCCTTCCCTTCCCCATTCCCTCCTCGTACACTGCCTGTGTGTGACAGTTGTGTACTGTGGTATAAAGAGGGGGACAACTTCCTTTAGTTCTAAAATACAAGCAAGTTTGCTGCTCTCCCATTCTAAACTGGGCTAAGAATTGTAAAATCCTGGTTTAGTGTTTGGATTTAAAGGTGTATTAGAAGTCTGTCACCATCCATTTCCTTACCTTGCTTCTTCTCACAACTGTTTTTGCCTATTGGAAGCTCCTGTGTTGTTTTTGGTTTTTATTCTACCACGTATTAAATTAAAATGGGTTTGACATTTGTAAAACCTTAAAAACTGTTCTCCTGTAAAAAAAATTTTAAAAAGCCCTCTTTTTTTCGCTGAAAACATCCTACAAAAAATAAATCTTAACTATTAGCTAAAATTTCTAATTTAAACCTGACAATTATTTACCTAATTGAATACAATACTGTAAAGCAGGCCTAGGAGATGGGACTTGTTAGTCTTCTGACTTCATACTGATCAAGTCAGATAACACATAGGACATTTTTAAATTGTGACTTGTTTTTTAAAACCCCTCGTCTTTTTCACAGCTAATATTTTCACAATAAACAGCCAAACGTAAAAATATTAATGTACAAATTGTGAAATTCTGTTAATTCCCAACAAAATATTTTTGTATATAATAAAGATTTAATATTGAAAAAATGTAAAGAGCTTTTTTCTGATTTTTTTTTTTTTGTTTGCTTGGTCACATTCTGAATTTTAGCCAAATACGGTCTTAAGAATCAACCTGCTTTCTCTGCTTTTTTATCTTTGCCTGATCCTTTACTGCTGAAAATCAGCTCCATGTGAGCACCCCCTTTCCTGCTGGCACCCTCACGTGTTGGTGCGCTGGCACCCTATGTTCCATGGACCAGCCTGGCTGGGCTCCACCCTCTGCACTGCTTTGGGTTTGTCCCCAAGTGTCACAGGTCCATGTCACACAGCCCGTGTAGCGTGTCAGGGTCTCAGTGCTCCGAGTTCAGAAAAGCAACTTACTTTTCAGCTGGTCCTGTCGAGCTGGATGTTCTTGGATGTGCCAAATCCCCACTCAATGTACAGAGCTCTTGGGTTCTCTTCAGACATCCTCCAAAATCACCATCGCTGAATTTGGGCTCTATTTTCTGAGCACTGCGGCACTTGGGGAGTCATTCTCAGGGGCCCGCGCTGTACTTAGCCCGTGTTCCAAAGCCCAGGGGACCCAGGGCTGCAGCGTGTGCGAGGTGGGCACTGGTTACTGAGTGAGGCCAAGGCTCTGGAGATGGCGCGTGCTCTTTGAAAAGAGCCTGCTGACCTCATCTTCCCTGATCTGATCCTGAATTGCAAAGGGTGGAGTTCCTTCCCCCTCCCGCCTGGGGACGTGGAAGTACAGCAAAGGGAAGCAGCATTTTGGGGAGGGCAATCAGGGTATGAAATCAAACCTCTTATGCAACAAGCTCCAACCTTCTCTGAAGGACCCTGCAGGCCTTTTACCAGCTCCATGCTGTAGGAAAGCCCCCATCTAACCTTGGAAAAAGGTTAAATGCATTTTCTGCACGTGGCCAGCCTGTCACAAGAACCTGCTGGTTGATCTAAGATGCAGCGGATGCATATCCAGCTCTTCTAAACTGGAATTAATATGGACTGGTGCACCTTTGGGTGGGTCCCTGAAGAGGCTCTCCTCAGTTAGCCTAGGGAAGGGCAGGACAAGAGTGATCTGGAGAGAGATTCTGCTTCTGCTGCTCCCTTCAATCTTCATATCCCCAGCCTGAGCTATTTTTAATAGTGTGCATAAGGATCCTGCTTTCAAGAGTGTGGAAGAAGGGACTGGAGAAAAAATGTGTACATATAACCTGCCTTAGTGCTTCTTTGTTCCCCAGCTGTGCTGGAAGTGCTCCTGTGGTTACAGAAGTGCTGTCAAAGGGAGGAACATCCTCTCTCCGACATGTGTGACACAGCACGCACACTCTGAAAACAGTCAGGCAGTGCAGTGCACATAAGGCTTACACCAAAACTCTGTAAGATCAGAGCAAGAAATCCCCAAAAGAACAATGGAAAATGCATGCATGAGGTTTGAAATTACTCTATTTTTTGACATAACATTTAGTAGAAAGTTTTGATAAATTAGTTACAGAGGCAGCATTTGACTTTCCCATTTACAAGAACATACCACTCCTGGCAGCAGAGTAAAACGCCCCCATCCTCCTGAGGGACATTTTCCCCATCACACCAGTGCAAGGTGCAGGCACCACCATCACCTTCATTTAAGCAGTGAGACACACAAACGCCAAAGCTGGGCACACAAGGCTGTCCTGAGCCAGCAAGGAATGGAAAGGTCCCACCGTGTTTTTTCAAAGTCCACGTCCTCAGGAAACCTTAACTAGCACGAGCTTCTGAAGACCTCTGAGATAACCTGCCCAAGACCATGTGGGAATAGAGCAGGAAACTGAACCCCGGACTCTGACTCACAAGTTGAACTGTTGGGCCTGCTCACTGATCACTCCTCGAAAACACTGATATTCCACTCACCTGGAACACCATCTTCCCAAGCCCACGTTTACAGTGATCTCCGTTGTATTTTTGTCCCATCCACATGATTACAAAAAATGATGATAAAAAGAAGAGTAAAATAATTCTAAGCACAAAGTGCTTTACTAACATTTTGCTGTTAGCGAACGAAACAAGCAAAATGTCTGCACTTAAAATGCCATATGGGTAAAATGGCCATTTTTGTGGACTGCAGCAGGGATCTTTCATGTGCACACACCAAAAGGCATCACCTCACCTCAAAGAGAAAGTTCAGAATGCAATTTAAACATCTGAACTTGCTAAGGCAAGTAAAGACTTACTAGAAAACAGAAAGCTGTACAGAAGCATAAATCCCTAAGGTGGTCTTCGGTTTTGAAAGAGTGACTGCAGTGTGCAGTTCACATCCGTAAAGCCAAACTACACTTAATAAATTAAAACCTCATCAAGTACCTCTTTGAGAGCCCTCCATTCCATTCACTCCCGAGTGAAGGCATTCGGCACATCATGTCTTAAACGACCAAAACGTTCCCTGTGTTGCAGAGCTCTGGGTTTCCGCAGCCCGCTCACAGAAAAAGCAGTTTGTACTTGGCAGTTTTCTCCCACGCATATTAATGCAAGCAATCAGGCTTCTGCTGCCCTGCAGACCTGACAACTACCAGAATAGCTGTGTTCAATTTCTGTTCCAGGCTTGTCTTTTCCAATTCCTCCCCTTCATCCTTCATTTATGTCTTTTCCACCACAGACAAACATACCTTAGCGAAACCACAGAGCAGCAGCACACCTGGGGGCAGCACGGAAGGGCCCCCCCCAGGAGCGCCGAGACCCCCATAACCCCCAGCTGGATGGCCCAAAGCACCCAACTGCGGGGCTCTACTCTTACCTCGAACACACCAACACTACGCTGCGGAGCTACAGAAGAAAGAACAGGCCAGAGCAACAACAGGACACCCAGCAAAGCTCCTACACATTCACGCCTAAAGCATCAAACCCATACAATGCAACATAAAGAACAAGCGGGGAGAATCGCGGTTCTTTCATAGTTACAGCTTTTACAGAAGACTCTGTCATTTCCAAATTAATGTTGGATGAAGCAAACAGTCTTTGCACGACATCAAATCTTCCTCTGTCCGTGAGAGGAGCCACCAAAGGGCTGCTCAGCGCCACACTGCCGTCAGCCGAGGTGATGTTAGGCTGTTTGTGAGAAAGAGCAAAAGGCAGTCGTTAAAAAGGTTTTCCAAGCTGTGCTGTTCCTGCTATGACACAGCTTGGTTCCTGCCTACAAAACCAGGGGAGAGCTTACCAGGCAGCTGCAAAAGGGCAAGATCCTCTTTACCGTTAGCCTTCATGGGTAGGATGACCTCATCCAGAACCAAAGCTCTGTGACATCCTTTAAGGAGAAACACCTCTCCTACCACGTCTTTTTCCCTGGTTTAACTTCTCTCACTGCATGTCACAATCCTCACTCTTACTCCAAGTGAACAGCAGTGTTTCCCTTGCTCCTATATATTTAAAGTTTGTTACTATTAATTTTTGTCAGTGAGCTTAAAAAAGAAAGCCTAGCCTCACCCCTTCAGCAATTTCAGTGGCTGGCCTCAGAGCTTCAGAACTTCAGCATCTGCCAGGGCCCCAAGCACTGCTGCTACCACGGTGAAATTTGTTTCCTAAAGGCAGGTGATTACTGTTACTGAGACTTTAAAATGGGCTACTGAGACTATGAGTAAATTAAACTTCCAGCTTGTTACAATTTTCTTTTGCACGCAGCCCGTGAAATCTCCCCAATACAGAAACATTTTAGAAGTTCCATATGCACCTGCAGTAAATCACCTGCACTGGTTGGCACTGTCAAGTCCCTGCCCTTGCCTAAGCACTGCCTACAACTGAAATTCGCACTGAGCTTGACAGCTTCTTTACTAGACAAGAAACACGACCAGGCAGAGAACACAGACCCTGCTGCTGCTGGGGCCCGCGCGCTGCACCCTCCCATCGTGATTACTCACCAGACAACACAAGGCTGGAACAACCTGAAGATCACAGCAAGCCCGCAGCAGGACAAGAGTGTAATCAGAGAGCTCTGTGAAAGAAATATTAAAAGGGAAAGATTGTTTCCAGCGAACCCTGCAAGAGGCTAGAAAAGGGGACCTGCCTAACCCCAAGCTCTGCTATAAGCTTCTGCTGGGCAAAGAGCGGAGCTGCATTGTGGAGGCCCATCTGCAGGGTTGGCATCTTGTGAAACCGAGGCCAGAGACCAAAGCGATTCAATGCCGCGAGCAGTTGTCACAAGTGCTCTGCTGGACCTTTGGAAGAGGCTGATCCAGCCCTTCCCTGCCCGCTTCCCAGAGCGCAGATTAAAATGAGACAGACCAGGGGTACAAGGCCCACACTGACTATCTCTGCCCTTGAGAAAAGGCAGCTCATAGGAAAGGAGATGTCCTCCCTATCCTTCTCGTCTCTTCCCCGTGCATTTCACTCCAAGTCTGCAGCCTGGAAGCCTGGATGAATGATTTGGGCCTTGAGTAAAACAAGAACCTCTGTTCTCAAAAACCCATATGAGATGCTGACTTCAGCAAAAGCATAACTGGAGAGGAATGACAGAGCTCAGACTGCCTTGGGGCAGGGAGATGGGCTAAACGATCCCTGTGGCGTCCTTCAACTCTGTGACTCAAGGCTGTACCTCCTAATAAAATCAACAGGCACAAAACAGCTTTTTTCCCATTCTTGATCCAGCTATATTCATGCCTGGACACTGGCAGCAGACATGTCCAAAGCTAAGTGACGATGCGACACACTCAGGAAATGTCAGGAAATTCTTTATATATGAGAGAGGATAGAAAAGCCAAGGAGGAGTCTGTCTCGGCCTTTGCAAGTAGCTCTTAATTAACACTGTGGTACCAACTAGACTGTGGGCACGGCCTTTGTTTGACATTTATGTTTAATCTCTGTTTTCAGGAGCTGCAAAACAACCCTGCAATCGCAGTCTCTCTACATTAAATTCAGTTTTGCTAAATACAGTTTGTACCTCAACAGTAAGTAGTCACACTGAAGACAACGCCTAATTTGGAATTCTCAGCATTTAGGCGGGAAGAACTCCGGCAAGCAGTAAGAACACAAACTAGGCTGCCAAACTGGAAATGGCCACACTCAGCAGAAAGTAGAGTTGAATAATCTTGGGGGAATGTGTCTTTTACAAGCAAAATCTGTCAGCGACTGAGCACTCGATTTAGTTCACAGTCAAGAACACTAAGCATGGTATATGAAACCCATAAAAAGGAACAGAAGAAATGATGTTCACTCAGCTCACCAACTGCTCAGAGCGAGCCATAAATGCTTTAACACAGAGGGAACTTCTACAAGAAAAATTGGGGGAAAAAAAGAAAAAAAAAGGGCTCTTCTCTCCATTCAACACGTACCAGAGATAGCACTGATGAGGAGGTGAGCAGCTGAGAAGAGTTCTTTGTCCTGAGGCTGATATTTCTGCACCATCAGCTCACTCTGCAAACTGCACCCTAAGAGCTGCAACAAGTCAGCAAGGTCTTGTTGTTGTGCAGGTTTTAACTCCCTCAGATCTGGCTTGTCCCCTGTGCAGATATCATCTAACTGGAAGCAAAATAATAAGTAAAACTGCTTGAAAAGAGAAAAGTTCAAGCAAAGGAGATTGCTAGCTCTCTCCTGAAATTACTTTTAGGACACAAGCAAAATTTCTTCATCTTACCACGTCCTCCAGGGCCGTGACCATTTCTTCCTTGAGCAAGAGTTCACAGAGGGTTTCATACAAAGCTCTTTGCTTGTCTTCCGGCAGCTTCACAAAGGGCTGGAACTGAGTCTTCAACCGTGACAGATCTTTCCCAAGAAAGCAGCAAAAAGTAAAACTAAGTATTTCTACACAAAGGCCAGCAAAGAGAGTTAACCCTTTGGCTCTGCGTTTCATAAGCTCACCTACCACCACATCCTGATTCCCATCGGCACAGGTTTACGAGGCAAAGCTGGAACACACCTGATGACATTTCCCTAAGGAGCCAATAAAGTATCAAGGAACGTTCTGTTAACTGAACTAAGCATATATTAAGTTTCTCACTTGAAAGCTCATCTCCAGAGCACATTCACTGATCAGGCAGAAGGAAGGGTTCGGCTCATAACTTCCCTGCTTAATCTAGGGGGTCACATGGAATGACAAAGTAGGAGTCTACACACAAATTTAAAGTTCCCGTTGTGCTCCTAAATTGTTACTGTCCTCGTATTTCATCAGGTTCGTCAAAAAATTACAACACTTCACCCCTGACCTAATTATTATTACAAAAACAGGACAAAAATCTCTTCTTGACTGAAATACTGGATCCGTTACAATGCATACAGCACAAGCAAGTTCACTGCACTTCGTTCCCCACAATTCAACTACGACACTAAACCAAAATGTTTTATGTCATCAAATTAGCACTTTGCTACAGGAAAGTAAGTTTCCAAGTCAATAATGCCAACCGCAAGGCTGAAATGTGTTTTTCCACATTCCAAAATATGGGCATTGCAGGCGTTCTTAACCTTGTTTAAAAGAAATTTCCCTTCATGTCATTCTGGTCAAGAAACAGGCTCTCTCTTTAAAAATGCCTTTTATAACTAAAAATTACTTCACTGGAAAAAAAAAAAACACCACAGGAAAAAAAAAGGCCCAGCCACAGGCAGATACTTTTTGTACCTGATGCCCTTCTGTGACTGTCTATACAAATAACAGAAGAGGAAATTTATTGTAAATTGCTTCAGTAGAAATGGGGTTTTTTAATTTTTTTTTTCCAAAAGACATTTCAGTTTAATTAGTTAAAAGAAACCTCCAAGCCTCTTAAGCAATAAAGGCACAAAGGTATGTCAAACTAAAAAAAAACAAGAACAGTGGCACAGCGCTCTTGAACAAATAACTGGATTCGATATACACAAGGTTACTCCTTTCAACCAAGTCTACACTGGAGAATGACAGAGTTTATTTCAGGATAACAAATATCTCTTCTGGCCACAGTTAGTCTATTGAACAGCCACGAACAAAGGGTGAAGTTTGGAGATAACAAAAGTGATGCTCATCATTAGAATGAGCTGCAAGAACTACCAGAACTGATGAAAAGTAAAGTGTATTCTGAGGCCTTGATGTGTTTTCCCTTTTTCCATTCTTCTGGTGACAATCCTGCCCCTTGCTACAATGAACAAGTTGTGTCTGGCCCATTACACCAATTCGCACACTTCCACTTAAATCACATTTTAATTTCGACAGCCTTAGTGGATACCACAGATTTCTATAAAGCTTCTCAGAAAATAATAAGGCCAAGTGAAAGCAGAGGAGATGTCTTTCGCATCTGAGATTTAAAATAACCTGTAACTTAGAAGCTTCACTGGGAGTATTTTCCAAATTATGAAAATATATTTTCAGACACCCTTTATGACTGAAAGCATAAATCATCACTGATCTTATAAAGCTTATCTGGCATGTAATAGAACCAGGAAAAACCCCTAATTTTGTAAGATTGTATTTATGACAAAGGGATTCAGGACATTCCTAGAGGAACAGTCCACTGCAAAGACTTACTGTAGAAGGAAATTTTTCTATTCTTTCAGTGCATTACCCCAGGAGTTCCTGATCAAGGGCTATCAAAATGACGTAGCAGAATTTCTTAAGTACTATTGTACCAGATTATTTCCTCCTATCGCGTTGCTTAGCTCACTGTAATAACCACGTAAAGCATTTCTGGCAATACCTTGTCTCAATACACTTAAAGCAGCATCACTGGGAACGACGTGTTCGACCCCGGAGTACGTCTCGTTATCAACAGCATCTGGCTGATAGAGAAACGAAGCGTCTCTGAACAGTGCTGAGTGGGGATAAGCTGAGCCTTCTGCGCTCGCTTTTTCAAAACCTCCTTGCTGATCATCTAGCAGACAGAATTCTGCAATTAGAAATCCAATTTAAGAAAAAAAAAATTAAAATTAATAACATATAAGAGCAATTACCAAATGAGACGCTAGCTTATCTTGTCTGGTGCTCTTGCATGTGATTTCTCCACGTCTCATCTCTCCTAGATGGAGAGGATGTGAATGGTTACGACAGATGCGAATTTGAGCGTTGCTGCTGCCCCAACACTTGGTACAGCGCGCGCAGACCGAAGTCCTGCCGTGCTGCTGCCAACTACAAAATGTGACACCGGCTCCTGTGAATTCAAGTAACGTAGACAGGAAACAACATGAAAACTTATGACCAACACCGTAAGCCTGAACGCTGCGAACAAGAGATGCAGGCAGGAATTCTTTGCGTTTTCTGCCAATTAAGAGGGGCCAAAGGATCCACTTGGGACGGAGACACGAGAAAGCACTTTCTGAGATTCTTAAGAACCCTGAGAGTCCCTTGCAGAGCTTCTTCTGGTCATGGCACTGATCAGCTCCTCTTTTCAAGCCATGCCACAGGTCCATCCTCAAGTTCTCCAGGTGAATGAGAAACTCTGAAAATCAGAGTCTCTGAAAGACTTCACCGGGACCTGTTCACTAACAGAGTCCCTCTGCAACGTGCTGTCTCTTTGCAATAACTTCACGGAGAAAATAACACCCCTTGGCTGGATCACACTTTCTGCCTTGTCTTCAAAAAGAGCACTGGCCTACCTCACCCAAACAGGGCTCCCAATTTCCTGCCATGCCAGCCCCCAATGTGGTGAAGCTAAGGGAGTCCTGGAAGGAACAGGGAGCCTCTGTAACGGTTATGCTGAAAAAACTGGAATATCGAGTTCTGTGCTTGTGTGTCTAACATTGTGCCCCAAGACACAGAATAATCAGTCTTATGAGTATTTTGATGATCTTTTATGGGCTCAAATGCAAGATTTGGAATTGTACCGCTGGCACTCGGCAGCAGGTCTGAGGAGAACGCAGGCAGGCTAGCAAAAGAAACTCAATTTTAAAATAATACCTGACAGCAAAAGGGAGGAGGGGGAAGTAACTAATCAAGCACAGTGCTCACATGCACCAGGCACAAAACCTAAATATAACCTTCCTGCAGTTGTAAGGATCTGTCGTACCAAATTAAGGACATTCAAAGCAGATGAGAAAGCACGGAGAGCACTCCATCAGCAAAAAGCTTCTTCAAAGAGAGAGCAGACGAAAAGAAATCTCTGCCACAGAGAAAGACGACAGAGACCTTTATGCCTGCAAAACCCTTCGCAGAGAAGAGCGAGCTGCTGAGGAGCAGAACACGATTAACACAAATTATAGATCTTCCCAAAGCAACAAGACTCCAGACCATGACGCCAACTTGCTCGTGTTCCTTCCCTTGATAACAATGAGGCTTTCACACGAACCCCCCAAGGAGGAAGATGGTGCTAATAAACTACCCGACGCCCCCTAAGGCAGAATGATGCTAAGTAAGGGAAATCAATGCACAGCATCATGTGAATAGTTTTAAGAGATACAGACCCTGAAAGTATTTGTATTTTTTATCTCACTAACTGTGTCATACTCTAAAAAGAAAAAAAAGGAAAATAAGTGAATGAAAGAATATACATAATACTGTGATATTTTCTGTATTGAATTCTATTACGTCCATCGATGACAAACCTCCAGTAAGTGCAGTTACATCCTGTTATTCAGAAACATTAACAAAAGGGAAGAAAACCAGAGATCATCAATTAAAGCAGTCAAAGGTGTGGAGAAGTTGAAAGGATTAGGACTGTTTAATTTATAGACAAATATTTAAGTAGAAGCAAGTCACACATACATAGCAACGAACAGAATGAGGCAGACCAGCTGGGTGCTACTATAGCTCCTGTTTTGTAAGGCAAGAACAAGAGGACTTGCAATGAAACTTTAGAAGTGCAGAGCCTTTAACAAGAACAGGTTTTACATGTAGTGAAAAATTAGCCTGTAGAAATCTAACAGAATGATTACAGGAAAACATTATGGTAAAGGGATCAGAAAAGGATTAGACTTTTTTTCATTTATTTGTAAAAATGTCCAAGCATGTCCAGCCAGATTAGCCAGAACATTTTAAAGGCAGTTTAAATACCATTTTTCCTTATAGGATAACTCAAGCACGATCAATGGCAAATAAAAGAAACAAAAATCCCCAAACTTACATGCACCTTATTCTGTAATTATCTGTGAAGAAAATCCCATTATGTTACACCTGCTACTGGTTACTGTCAGTCTCACGCCAAAGGGCTACATTAGTCTCTGGATTAATTTCAAAGGCTATTTTTATTTCCATAAGCAGACACTGATCATTGCTCAGATATTGCAGGTTAGGCTCCATCATACTTATTCTTACTGGCAAATCCCAAATTTTGTTGCTAGTTCCTCCATGTTACTTTCTCAATGACAGCCAGGCAAGGGAAGATAGCACAAGTTTTAAAAAAAAAAGGCAAGACAGAGACTGTTGGAGATAAAACATGAAACAAGCTGTGCTGGTCTTGAAGCTTAAAAGACATAACCTTAAATGTGAAAAAAAGAAGTGAAAAAAGAAGAAGTGGAGAAAGAAGCAGAGAAATACAGATCATCAACAAACCCACGTATTATCATCTAGAGCACATAGGAATTTCTACGTAGAAATCCCGTAGCAGGCTATCAGCTACACCCCTGCGCAGTCAGACAGCCCTCACTGCACCTGATCACTGCAGCACAGCTCCATCATGTCCATGAAGTCAATGCCCTCTGCTGGATCTCCGTGTTCAGCCCACGTCAGAGCAATTCCACATTTCCAAAGGTTTTTTTACAGGTTATGTGACATTTACTTATATTCCTGAACGTACAAGACTTCCTTAATATCAGAAGCCATTTGAAGGAGAATGATGGAGAGTATCTTTTGCATTTCTTATCCAAATAAAGTGCATCCTAGATTTAAATCTCAACTGCAATTCAATTATTTCTTTAACGTATCTCCCATTTCTCTCCACATCAGTCCTTTCCAACTTCCAGCTCTACACAGTCCACCTGACTTATTTCCTTCTTGCATAACATCGCCAGAAACCTCCGTTAGGTCAGGGAGTTTAACTGAGGATAGACAAGAAAGGAAAAGCCAAGTGATTCTGCAGAGCAGTGTTACTACTATGCCCAAAGCCAATTTCAACATTTTTTTTTTTAACTTGACACCTGAAAGTATTCGACCTGAAATCAGTAAAGTCTGACCAGAAAACACGGCAAGGACAGTTCTGCAACCACTCTGAGAACAATCTAGATAAGGAAGTGTAAAACAGACCAGTTCAATTTCAGGACCTACATTTTATGAATAATTCTTTTCTTAACACGACTGTTGTCTAAACACTGCGAGCTGACTGCCGATTTATATTCAGTTCCCTCTCCCTGCCAATAGGTGAAGGCAACAGCATGGGCTGAGGGCCAGCTGGCTAGAAGCAAAATTGCAGAATAAGACAAAAGTGATTTTTCAGTTTGGGAGACGGCATTCGGAGTACTATGTCCAGTTTTGGGCTCCCCAGTACAAGACCTGACATTCACACAGAACAACCTAGCGAACAGCCACCAAGCTCGCTGGGGGCTGGAGAACACCATGTATGGCAAGAGGCTGAGAGACCACGTTTGTCCGTTCTGGAGGAAATAGTGCTGAGGGAGAACCTGATTCCTGTTTACAACTACCCAATGGAAGCATGAAGAGAAGGCAGAGCCAGATGCCTCAGTATGATGACAGGACAAAACACAAGAGACACAAAATTAAAGAAAAGGAAATTGTCGTTACATATTAAGGGGGGAAAAAAGTTCACCATGATGGTGGTCAAACGTGGGAACAGGCTGCCCAGAACGGTGATGGAATCTCCATTTCTGGAGACAATCAAAACTTTAACAAAGATAAGAGCAATCAGATCCAACTCTGAACTTAGATCAAACTTCAAAAGCTGGCCCTACCTTGAGCTGAGGCTTGAGCTAGATGACCTCCTGTACTCTCCTGAAACCTCAGTTATTCTCAGTTTATGATTTATTCAAAGAAGTGAAAAAGCATTACTGAATCAGAAGAGCAGCATTTCATGGCACAAATCACGATCGAGGCAATGGAGACAATACAACATCATCACCTTCGTACACAGGGAAATGCAAAAACCATTGTCCAACAGACAGCTCTGTCCACAGCTGAACGGTGTGCCACAGAAAATGAGCTTTATACTTACCAAACTGGCCACTCTGCTTTATAAACAGTTCAATTACACCGTAGGCAATAGTGGTTGCAGGAGGAATTTCAAGGATCACACTGGAATCCTTCCCCATACTTCCATCTTCACTCACTGAAACCTAGAGGACAGATTTATTCACCGTTTACCCGATTTGGCTGTTGCGTAGCTTAAACACAGAATTAACCAAGGGGGCAAAAAAAACAGAGAAAGAACGTGCCTTGTTCTCCACGTTGTCTAACTAAAGCACACATTACGTGTATAATATATGAAAGAAACTAGAAGCACAATGCGAGGAGCCGCTCTGAAAGGCTCAGCTACCCTGTCCTAGTACAAAGTTGTGCGCCAGGCGCAGCTTTTGCCACACGTAAAACATTGTGTCACCAAGAAATGGGCACCCACGTCAGTGGTCTGCCCTGCCTGCCACCCTGACAGCCCTTCTGCCCAGCTGGAGACTGGTACCGGGAAGGTGACACTCCCAGCAGAGAGCTGCTGAACTGCAACCCCCAGATTTCTACTGGAGATCCCGTGTGCACAGGGGCGATTTATCTTGAGGTTTAAAAAAAAAAAGAAAAACAAAAACAAAAAAACCCACAACCAACCAATCAAAACCACAACCAACAAAAACCAACCCCCTCCCCACCCCAAACCCAAACCTTACAACGAATGAGTGTGTTTTTGACTCAAGTCATGGGAAATATTTCAGATACCCTCATCATGCTGTTCATCTCCACTCCCAAGATCGAAAACAAACAGCTTCTCAATAGATATTAAAACTCAGTAGACACCACAAACATTTCTGATTAATGATTACTTGGGTTTTCAAATAAATTTGCTTTGGCAACACTTTTTACTTTTCAGTTTTCACTGAATTGTTACAGGTTTATGTTCTGCTGTAGACAGGAATCTACACAGAAACTGAATCACAGTCTGACAGCACTGACAGGGAAGCCACATTTCAGGCTCACACTAAAAGATGGCATCTTCTGCCGCTGAGACAATGGAAGAAACGTTCTGCCTTCCTGAAGTTTCACAACTAAGCAGTACAGTGAGTTCAACTTGTTAAGGAATAGAGTTTAATGTGCAAAAGAAGTGTGAAAATACTGAAGTCTATCTGAAGAAATCGTATTTTCTTCTCAGATAATCTGCAAATGTTCTATTCCTTGCACATTTTTTAATAACTGTTACCTTTACTATTCTTGCGCTGCATCCTATCACACCGCTGATTTTTTCTTCTGTCTGGATATGTTCAGATATCGTGCACTTCTGAGTTGTTATTATCTTTTCTCTCAAGATGCACAGCACTTCTCGTTTTCTTTCTATTACTTGTTGAAGTAAACTGCTGCTTAGCTTTATTGTTCTGAGAAAGACATCATTACCAACATAAATACTAGAATTGAGAAAAAACATTTTCTTAATTGCTTGAAAAAGCTTTTACTTTAAAAATAACAATGGCTTTTGTATGAGCAGTCTCCTCAAAATTAGTATGTTCTCTTTTGTTAATTGGTAGCAGCAAACATCTGTATCCCACAGTAAGTCCCAGCACACGTACGGAATTCTTGATTCCTTACTCTGAGCTAAAATAGCAGTTGTCTGGCTACTTTCTAAGCAAAAAAGAAAAAAAAAAACAAACAAGGGAGACCAAAAGACAACTTTAAATGTCTGGTATAATACAAAAGCACTCAGCCAGGCTCATGGACACTGGACTGAATCCTCTACTACTGCAAGCTCACCCAGCCAGGGCGGGGGCTGCCAGCAAACCTCTCTCTTCCAAATCTTGCGTTGGGACAGCATAAATCAACAGGTCGTATCCTGCAGTCTTTACTCCAAAGAATTATTTCAACCAAAAATTACCAGGAAGTACAAACACCAGACCTGTGCTCACGGTCTGTATTATGAACTCGCTGCAGCCTAGCACAAATACTGCCTACATTTGGCGTGCAACACACAGCAGTAAGACCTGTAAGAGCGTAATACCTAGTAAGGGTGTAATATAACGTTACCCACACACCACAGAGCTCTGGTTAGAAAGAAAGAAGCTGCAGCCAAGCTGCTGGAAGTCAGGCAATACCCAGCAAGGGATCTTCCAGTCTCCTCAGTGTCTCTCTTTGGAATCAAGCCCCTTGTTTTCCTAGAGTAGTTCATGTTTTTCCTCTCTCCTACCTGACTAGATCAAGTCCCACTTCTCCTCCCTCCTTCTCATTCATCTCAGCTTGGTCCCACAGCCAGCCAGCTCACCAGCCCCACTTCACGTGACTGCTCTGCTATTTCCACCCTCGGGTGACACCGGCTGTTCGTGGCTCCCAGCCTCAGCCTTCCCTCCTTCTCGCAGTTCATCCTTACCGCACTCCAGCTGTTTGCCCAAACTCGGACTCACTTATCTCCTTGTCACCACTCAGTCCTGCCACCCCATCTCTGTATGTCCTTGTACCTGCTGCCCGTGTGCCATCAGGTGCTTGTCACCAGGGGAGGTGACACGGGGCTCCTTCGTCCCAAGTGCTGATGTCCAGACTCACCCTGGACCAGGGCAGCTTGAGGAAACCACCACTAGGACCACCGGTTTGACCTTCGAAGGCCCACATGCAGGCAAAGGGGTGCCCTGACAAATTCTGAGTCACCAGAATTTCTCCTTGAGGGATGAACAGCATGCTCGGAGAGCAACGCCTCCACACCAACCCTCACAGCTCCCCAGGGATCTGTTTCGGTGGTCACTTACACCCTGGACTGGCTGAGTGGGACCAAGAACTTCAAAGGGCTGGATGAGAAAACACAGAAAAGGTCTCATGGAGTTTGGAATTGGAGAAGGTTACTGAAAAAAACACCTGCTACGAATTCTTGAGGTATAACCTCACAATTTTACCATTACTGACCAGGACTGTCAAAGTCAAAAGAAAAACTAACTGCGGGATGGACCTCAAAACTCTAGCCCACACCTCCAACTTCACAGGTCATCCCTGCTGTGAGTGTTTAAATGCTGCTGGAGGTATTTCTAAAGTTAAGTTCTTCTTAGAATGAGAAGAAGAAAGTGAACTCCCAGAAACAAAATAAGCAGATTATTTTCTAAGGAAAAGATGACAAAATTCACTACCTCATCTTCCGGGGTGTTAGAAGAGTTTCTGGTAATAGTTAAAGCAATGTCTACTTAATCAATTGTGTTGATTATATTAAACCTTTGCAAAATCCTTGTTGGAGGTCGTCAAATGAAATGTTTTATTTTCTATGAATAGGTAACTCTAACAAGATTAAAAGGTTGCTATCCCTGGCTCAAGTTATTCAGTCTTTTCTCCTCTCTTTTTCTGTAAATGGCTATTCATGGGCCTAAATGGCAATTCCCCAAAAATATGACAGAGAGACATGTCTGACTCCACTTTATTTAAATTGAGATATCTCCACTTTTAATTAAAAAGTTTCAGATTTATTAGATTCTAGAGTTTTGGATTTATGTAGTCTGTATAAGTCTGAAGTCAGCTTAGTTCTTTATTAAATTAAAAATATCCAGAGGCAATTTTTGATCTCTGCAGAGTTACATGCTTATATGAGAGTTCAATCAGTTGGAATGAACTGTCTGAAAAACTTAAAGTTGATTGTTTAAACAAGGGAAAGAAAATACTTCTGAGGCAATGCAGCAGCCACTAGAAAAGCACCCCAAAACATTCCTGAGATTATTAATATAACTTTTTTCTTCTTGTGCAAAGCCATGCTTTATGCTCGGAACACAATGTATCTTTGGATTAAGCAAAAAGTTGAAGAAATCTCAAGCAATCACAAACATTGCTGCTCTTAGAAGTGCCTGTCAAACCAGAGCTATTAATTATCATAATAACAGACCCTCAAGCCTATCACATACTTCATCAACAGTTATTTATGGTTCTGAAGAGGTTTGCTAAGCATCTTGAAAATACAAATTAATGCATTAAGAACTTGCAATATTAACACCTGACCTAAGAAACCACCAAGAGGGACTACAATGAAGAAGCACAAAAGCAGTTTGTAGTTTCCTTTCATATGATGTATTTTCTGCCTGTTCCAACTCACCAGATATCCCCAGATGTTAGAACAAAGGAAACAGATCAGTAAAAAGTAGAAAAACACAGATTAAATAGAGATTTGCAGTTCCTGAGCACTTGTTAACATAAGAAGCATATAGAATGTGATCTAACCCTGTACAAATGAATGGCCATAATAATTGAAGAGACTTTTTTTTTTTCCATCTAGTTCTGCAGCTCTCTGCCCGAGGTGGGGCCGGCTCGGACCCGCTCATGGCCCTGGCTTTGAGCTTCAGACGCAGAACTGACAGCAGAGAGAAAGAGTCAGCAGCCACGGGCAAGCCCCCCAAGAGGCACAGGAAAGAAGCTTCTGAGGCAGCGCTGGACAAGCAGGCGCAGCACTGGAGGCCACGCGGGGCCACTCATGCCCCAGGGGCCCAGAGTGAGCTGCTGTGGTTCCTGATGCGACACCTCGTGGGCACCGAGTCTGGGAGGTGACCTGGGGTCCTCCGCACAGAGCTGCACTGTGTGACACGGGCACTGCCCAAGCCTCAAGTGACTCCCGTGGGACACGTTCAACTGCACAACTGGCAGAACAGCTCTCCTCTCCCCTCTTCAGTTTGGTGAGTACCGGATTCAGAGCTTTGAAACACATACCCTTAACGACAGCTACAAACACCTTTCCTTCAGGACAGCACAGCTAAACGCCCTCCTCTCGGCTGCCAGCACTGAACTTTCTATCATAAAACCCCCTCGCACCCCAGGGGCGTGTGTGGGCACATCGCGAGCTATCACCCGGGCACACCCAGTGGAAGGCAAAACCTTCTGCCCTTCTCAGCGACTCGAAACGAGACAACGTGAGGTAAGCAAATAACCAGCTTATCTAAATCATCACTGAAAACAATCATCAAGAGCAAGGGTTAAAGTGTGACAATCAGAGCAGGGCTTAAAGTACTGCAGGGCAACGGCCGCGGAGTTTGTGAGTGTATTTTTGCAAGAGCTGAACTCATCTGCTAGCATAACATTCGGAATATCAGGGCTACATCTGAGTAACAAGAGATGGATGAGTTAAATCCCTGAAAATACATGCATGTGGGCACACAAACTGCATTGTGTTTGTTTATTTTACAGGTCATGTTTCAGAGCTTTTCTTTCTGTTCTACAACCATCACTCTTACCATCTCGTTTGCCATCCACTGCACAGGAGAACTCACTGATCTTGAGTGACCTGTACAGTATCACTGTACTCCTTCCCACCTTGGGAAGCCGAGCTGAAATACTCAAAATACACTATGTAAAATACAATGAGATGCTGGTTTGCTAAGTCCCATTATCAACACACAGAGTATGAGCCTGTGTACATAAAGATCATTTAAAATATAAGGATTATGTCTTTTTTGTTTGATTGCTTTGCTTAAATAATCTTCCCGAGGTCAATGATTTATTATGCTGGAAGCTCTGTATGACAAACATGAACAGAAAGGAATTTCTTTGAGCTTTGGTCTCACTCTCTCCACATTCAATTTAAATAAACACTTCCACTCTCCTCTAATGCAAAGGCTTCCTTCACTTCTATTCAACTCTTTTCCTCTTGCATGAGGAAAGCAGTGGAGACTAGACAGGCACAAAGGCAATTTGCTGCAGACTGGAAGCAGAAAGAAGGGAGAAAGGCAGAAACCAACAGAAGGCAGAAGAAAACAGACAACGCCTGGCAATGAGGCAGGTTCTCACAGCTAAAGGAGAGAGCAGAAGCCTGCTCTAAACCCCACAGCTGAGACGGAGGGTCTTTCCTTCCAGCACAAAATCTCTGGCAATAGGCACGGTGGCCCACACTCACAGCCTCACCCAAACGCAACTTCTTCCATAGCACCCACAGAACAGACTTCAAAATCTCTCTCCCTGCTCGGTCAGAACTCCTCAGCTCGTTTGGCCTTCGCCACTTTATTTATAATATGCAATCGTCTGATGTCTTCCATATAAATGCTGCTTGCTGCACTGCAAGCGCCTTCATCTAGCTTTGTTCCTTCTCTAACAGAGAACTCCAGAAGAGCACAGCAAAGTAAAATCCACTAGACCTCACCCTGCCACTTTCCACAAAGCACAGCCACATAGTATTTCTTTTGTTAATCTGTTTCAAACATAACCTCTCTGACCTACTTCTTACCGTCATATCAGAACACAGTATCTGCTATAGTCACCTTATTGATAGCATTTCACAATTTTCCCTACAGACCATTACTTCACAGAACATCTTCCCCAAGATAGCTGAGACTTCTGAGAGTGCAAATGACAGACAGTTCCTCTATTTTCTATTTGGTATCCTTCTTACTTTTTAAATCACAGACATACATAACTGATTCTTTTTTCAATCTTGTCTCATAACATTCTGTGACTTCATATTACCCACATAGCACCTTTGGTAGAAAGCTGTACATTTTCCAAATCATACACATAAATGCTCAAGTTTTGAAGAATAAATAACAAAGCGGCTGAACTTCCACTGTCCTCAGATTAAGAACACGCATTTAATTTTGTCTCAATGTGGACAACAACTGAATCAATGAAAGTGCACATTAAAGTGTAATATGCAACAGGGAAGAACATCTTTCAATCATACCAGAGTATACTACTACTAACACCCTGGTTTTCTAAGATGCTATCACAGAGTTAGGAATCATTCACCTGAAATGATCTAAGTGGGACAGGCAAACTTTTCTGCAGCTGATGTGAACTGACGTGACTGGTGCTACTTGGTCCTATTTCTCCCTGCTGCCATTGTCCTCTCACAGTTTCTGTTTCAATCACCTAACAAAACTCAGTGAAATAGTAAAAACAAACAAGTGAATCTGTTAATCTGTGAGAACTACTGAAATTATAACCTCCTCACAATCCTTTTCACTGGAGGGAAGAATATAGGATGGTTGGGGTTGAAAGGTCATCTGCTCAAGCAGGGCTACCTAAAACAGGCTCCCTAGGACCAGGTCTCCAAGAAGGAAGACCCACAACCTCTCTGGGCTACCTGGGCCAGTGCTCGGTCACCCTCACAGGGGAAAAAAGCATTTCCTGATGCTCAGACAGAGCCTCCTGTGTTTCAGTTTGTGCCCACTGCCTCCTGCTCTGTCACTGGGCACCACTGGAAAGAGCCTGGCTCCATCCTGTTGGCACTCTTTTTTCAGGTATTTATACACATCGATGAAATCCCTCGAGCCTTCTCTTTTCAAGGCTGAACAGTCCCAGCTCTCTCACCCTCTCCTCAAATGTGAGATGCTCTAGTCCCTTCATCCTCACCATGGCCCTGCACTGGACCCTTTCCAGTACGTCCATCTCCTTGTACTACGGAGCCCAGAACTGTACCTGCCCAGAGCACTGAGTAGCAGAGGGGAAGGATCACCTCCCCCAACCTGCCGGCAATACTCACCCTAACGCAGTCCAGGACACCAGTGGCCTTTTCTTCAGTGAGGGTACATTGGTGCCTCATGTCCTCTTTGGTTTCCACCAGGACCCCCAGGTCCTTTTCTGCAAAGCTGCTCTCCAGCCAGTGAGCCCACAGCAGGCACTGGTGCCTGGGGCTGTTTCACGTGCAGAATTTTGTACCTCCCTCTGCTGACCCTCGTGAGGTTCCCACCAGACCAGCCTGCTGAGGCCCCTCTGGATGGCAGCAGAACCCTCTGGGTGCATCAGCCATTCCTCCCAGTTTTGTGTCATCAGCAAACTTGCTGAGGTGCACTCGTCGACCCCATCACCCAGATGACTAATGAAGATGTTAAACATGACTGGGCCCAGTATGGTTCCCTGGGGTACACCATTAGCCACCGGCCTGCAGCGGGATTTTTGAACCACTGATCAATACCCTCTGGGCCCAGCCGTTCAGACAGTTTTCAACCCACCTCACTAATCCAGCCCATACTCCGTCAGCTTGTCTATGAGGATCTTAGGGCAGAAAGCACTGAAAGCCTTAAAATAGACGATGGAATATACTCTTAAATCCACAGCATTCTCACTGAGTTAAAGGCACGGGACTCTGACCCAAAATCCGTGTGTTACAGTACTCTGTGAATTAGCAAGCACAATGTAACATGAAAAACAAGAATAATGTAAAATTAAATATGCCCCGTTTCTATACCTAAAAGCGCCACTTAACTTTATATTGCATATTATGTTAGTGTGTTCTATATTTACAATGTCATTTCTTCTGCAAATCAGGAAGGATCTCACCTTGCGTCCTTCAGCTGTCACCCCTTTACAGAAAAGGGGAGCCAAAGCAGCATCTGGAATCTGATTAAAAGGTCTGTAGGACTTTCCTTCAGAAGGTTCACAGAGCAAGTGACAGGAAACCGATTTGCTGTCACTCAGCAAGTCCAGCTTGCTGAACCTTAAAGACTCGCATGACTTAGTTTAGAAGGCATATCAGCTTTTTTAGTTTTCTGCTATTTATCTGCAGCTTTGACTTAAACAGCCTAACAGAAGAACATTTTAAATTGCAACTTAATTAGGTTATATGCAGAAACAATAAGCAAAACAGTAATTGGTCAAACAAGCACAGGCAACCTACGTCATTAACTGAAATCAAGAACACTCAGCTGACTCTCATCTCACAAGGACTGATGGGTAAACATCCTCTTAGCACCATAATGTTAGTGATCTTTGGAGGCAAAACTTGTAGGCACCAGCACTCTTGAATGCTGAATTCCTGAGTTCCACACACTGCTCCATGAACAAGACAAAAACTAGAAGCCTGGACACAATCCATCATAAACCACGGAATATTTATGAATGATTAACTGGAATTTCATTTGTAAGGCATTGCTGCAATTGCCAGTGAGCCTTGGCATTATGCTGATAAAAAATAAAAATTCTGCTATCCTCAGCACTTTCAGTGACCCAGCAGGAAGACTGACTGGATATCAGTTACACACTTTCCATTGTAAGCCTTTTTAAGCTATGAACATCTTTTCTATGAGCAAAGAATTAGCTCCTTGCATAAAGTGGCACACACATTAACCTCATTCATTGTTACATTCAGATCGGTGCAGAGCTACTGATTTTCCACATTCAAGAGACAATAACTTACTTTCAATTGTTTAGTTACATTCAGGATTATGACCCCGAGATGTGCTGAAGTAAATCTAATTCACTAAGGAAGGATTATTTGTTTTAATAGAGTAGATAATTTATTGCAACAAAACTAAGTAAAAGCTTACTGACCTACACAGAAGCTACTCTGGTTTGTTTTTCTATAGGACTCTTATCAAGTATTACAAACAAGATTAAAAACATTGACTGACACTGTTTTTCTGATACTAGACACATACTAGTTTTGCAGGCCTGGTACACACATTTAGCCCAGTATTTTGTGCTTTTAATAAGGTAGTTAGTACAAAAATAGTAAGATGCCTTACTATCACAGAATCCCAGGTTGAAAGGGACCTCAAGGATCATCTGGTCCAACCTTTTGTGGGAAAAGCATGGTCTAGACAAGATGGCCCAGCACTCTGTCCAGCTGAACCCTAAAAGTGTCCAGTGTTGGGGAATCCACACACTTCCCCAGGAGGATTACTCCATTATTCTAAACTCATTCTTTAGACTAAGTTTCTTGATTTGTGAATGCTCATGACAGAAAGAACAGCAGCCACCTGTCACTGTGAAAATGGAGAATTGATTATTTCTAGAACATCAGCGTATCTAAAGGAAATTTACACCACTTCTGATAACTGATAATTTGCACTGATAACAAAAACCTATCATCTTCAGAGCAAAGGCTGTTAAAATGCATTATACCACCTGCTAACAGATGTAGGGTACAACTCTGCCACAAACCAACCATGCTCGTCTCCCAGTAGTCACGACCTGCAATACAGAGCAGACCCCAACTGCCAGCCGGCTGCCAAGCAGGCTTTGGTCCATGACTGCCTTATAGTGCAAGACCAAATAAATCCGATTCCGAGTAGGACAGGTAGTGTTGCACATCTTGCAAAATTAATGTTAGAGTTCCCCTCAGCTATTACAGTGTATAACAGTGAGCAACAGATCTATAAACTCCGTTTTGTGCAACTAGCAGAACACGCACTGACTATGCTATTCCTTCAAATAATCCAACTTTCTAGCACACTTGCTCACATACATGAAAAAAAAATTATAAAGCGTCCTTATAGAAACATCAGTAATTCTGAATTCCGTTTCCATAGCATTTGTCCAGTAACACAGAGAAACCAATCCTTTTTTTTCCCAGGTCCCTGAAAGAAAGTAGGATTTGACTCTAGTTCCATGTGGTAATTCATGCAAATAAGTAAGACGAAATTGCAGAGAGATGGTTTTAAAATGAAAATGTTAGATCATCAAGCTTTCAAATTCTGGAAACTTTCATTTTTATATATATAATTTATCACCTGAAAATGAGTGCTTACAGAAAAAATAACTCTCAAACTACGGCAACACTACTGAATCAACTGATCAGTGATCACAGCCGGCCCAAGCATTTTCAGCTCAGAAATCTTCCCTGGCCATTACAACACTCACATTACAAACATACCTGTCCTTGACATCTTTCATAAGCTGCTGCAAGTCAATCTCCTGCTTCCTCAGGTTTCCAAATGAGGACTGGTTTTCCACATAGCCCTTCCCTCCAGCTCCCAGGCTGATCTTTCCAAATGACGTTTCGATACTTCCTTGAACAAAATCTTCAAATTTCCCCATGTATTTTGCAAAGTCAGACTCCACAATTACTAGGAAAGCAATAAAAGTAATTTCTACCTGTGAAAAGAAGTGCTGAAACAGTCCTGAAGCAACTGGAAAAACAGAAACTTACAGGAAATACGACAACTTAGCGAAGGTAAGGAACAGTATGGAGCAGGGCAGCTACAACTAACATCTAAACTTAGGGACTTAAATTGTGAGAAGCCCAGAAACATGGGATTCGCAAATCGTTAATCCTAAAACCTGGTCAGGCCTGCTGCAGCTGGATGAAGAAAGAAGTGCAAGAGTCAATCGTTTTTAATGGTCTGTGCAAGAGGAAAGGAAACAGTAGCAAAACTTGCTTGTCCTTGCTTGTGCAAGTATCTCCTGGGCTACTACCATCACCAAGAAGACACTCCATGCAACGCTTTTTGACCTGGAGCTCAGTAAACTTTCATGCTACTATCACATACTGGAATCCCCCAAAAATATTCTAGGGGAGCTCCTGTGGCTGCAGACAGCACTGCTATTAAACAGGAGGACTGTACGGCTTGACAGCCCTCAGCGCTCTATTTCAGTAGTCTATCTATGCAAAATGTTATTTATTTTAAAGAAAAAAAACCCAAATGTTATCACTGCTTTTAGTTAAATGACTGAGAATTAATGAAGTGAGAAAAGATCCAGTCATCTCATTTCCACGGATGGAGAACACTTCAAAGAATTCCCCTGAAAGGAGCCCTCTAATAACATGACTGAGAATAACAAAAAAGACTATTATCTGCAATAATAGTCCTGCCCAAGTACGACTTTACCTGGTTTTATCGGTTCATCTTCGGTAAGCACATCACTCAGGGTGACTGTCAAGAAATGATATTTGGGCTTCTGCCAGCACCAGAATTTCCTCCTCTTTGTAACTAAGCTCAGAAGCTGCAGCTTGTCTGAGTCGTTCAAGTGAGAGACAGGGATCAAGTCACCTCCACCACCAGTTTCTCTCACAAAATTCTTCGTTGCTTTTGCAAACATCTTGGGGAATCAATTCAAGCCTGAAAAAGAAATATATCTGATTTTCAACAACTACTTTTGGAATGTATAAATATTTACACTGTCACTTTAAGAAGTTCTTCATAGTATTGGTATCGGTGCAGGAACAGCTTGTGTTTTCAGCCCATCTTCTCCGCTCAAGAGCTGGGAATCACGACACTTCAAACCACTTACTCCACAGCCAAAAGATTTTCACAGTAACAGACAAAAAGAATTTTAGTTAAAATTTTAAAGAAGCAACTGTGAACAAGGAAAGAACAATGTACTGCAAACACAATAGGCAGGGCTTAAACATTACAATAATAATGCATGAAATTCATGAACACACAGATAACAAAGGAAAAAATAAATGTATGAGAAAACAAATATTCCAATCTACAGATTAAAAGTTCCTTCAAGGAACACTCACAGGTAGTTAATCTGTTGGGCAAGAAAAAGCTTACACAGCTTACCTGAACTTCTAAGAAAAAGCATCTAGTAATGAGCACCCTGCAGAGACTGGCTGAGATGAGAAGAGCACTGGTACAAGGGCCGAGGATTTCTGCCTCCCCACAGAATCCTTCTTTTATTACCTAACATAAAGTTATCTTGCTCCATATAATGTAATTGGGTATTATTCATACAAATTATCTTGACCTTTTTAGTAGTGAGTAAACACATGTAGGGATAATAACAATTATTCTATAAAAAGCAACAAATATTTGTCCTGGTATCGTTGTGACTAAGTTTTGTTTCTGAACCACATCCCTGGAGACTTCTAATTAATTTTTTTTCTGAACCTTTTACCTTCAGTATTTTCCAATTATGTATTTTCCATTAGCATAACTACAGCTAAATTGAACATATGTTATTTGCAATTGTTACTTATGTCTGCTAAACAGCTACATACATTATCTTATCCTAGCTTTTAAATGTCTTAAATTGAAAAATATTGGCATCTCTTATTGCATAAGGTTTTCTTTTTCCAAAGCAACACATTTTTCCATAAGGGAAACTGGATGAACTCACAGGAGAAGCGGTAAAAACAACCATTCATAAGTGCTAAGCACACAATTCTAACAAACTAATTTTTGATAGAATATTTTTTAGTTTTTCAACTCTAGTGTTATTTGAGCTAATGACATTTCCAGCACTCGCTCTGAATCCCCCGGCTGACAGCGACTGAAAATTCTAAGATGTCTCAGCTGGGTAACCACACATTCGTGACTAATTACCTGTCTTGCTCCACAGAGATGTTAGATTTGTCATTTACAAATACAGATCAGAGTACGTTAAAACAGACTTCAAACAAAAATTGATATTGCAGTGGGCATGCTGGACTATTGAGAGAAAATGAGAAATTGAGTATATATATTAGTGGTTGAACCACTGGCTCCCTATTTTAGTATGAGTTGGAGAGCAGAGGAGGGAAAAAACAAACCTTTCTGCATATGGGAACTTACTGTTTTTTAGCTTTTCCCAAATCCCATTTCAGATAACATTTCATGCAGTATTTACCAATTCACATTGAGGTACCTACCTCCTCATGAAAGCCCTACGGCCTGCTCCTAGTTCTCCACATAAGCAAGAAAAGGGTGTTTCCCAACAACACCTGCATGGAAAAGGTTTGAACAATGTAAAAAGTCACATCGTGTTTCACTGAAGAGTCTTCTGGGACTTTCACTGTAACCAGGACTGGAACACACCTGCAGCCCAGTCCCAGCCATACGCACTGGGAATATTTCCACTGACTTTCTTGTTCTCTGGCCTTATGCTAAACTCTGAACTGAGACTGATTCTTTGCATTCTAAAATTTCTCCTCCTTAATTTCCCTGGGTTTAATCTCAGTAAGAACAACTTTAACAGTATGAGCAACGCTGCTCCAGTGCAGAACTAAAAAAAAAAACCACCAACACCAAAAAACAAATTAATCCCCCAACAACCAAAAAAACATTAGTTTTCTTTTCCCATTAACACCACTCTTCAAAACTTGTGTTTTGTCTTAACTCCCAGTCACTGTGCTTTTGACTAGTAAAAAGGACATCCAGGAAAAAGCACAGCGTGCTTGTGAGGACTGCTGAGACTCACCACGCAGGAGAGATGGGACTATCTTCAGCCTCAGAACAATAACATCATCTCCCACACTTCACTGAGCTGGGAAAACCTTTGCAGGGAGCGTATTTGCTGGTGCAGCTGTACCTGGAAAGCAAGAATACTCTGTACAAATTCCCATTTATGTCTCTTTGGATATAGTGTCTTTAACACATATTCCAAAATGCACCCAAATATCTGGTTTCGCTAGGTCAAAGAACTGACAGAGCAGTTGACTTTGGCCAACATCAGGGAGTTAATGCAGCTATCAGGATCAGCAGGGTCCTGACTGAACGGGCATGGAGCGGTTACAAACACAGCATTAAAAAACCTCTGCCTTTGGAGTGTCTTCCTCTGGAAATTTTGTCAAAGCTGTGCTTGGTTTTGTAGAATTAAAAGGGAAGATACCAAAGCTGGTAGGAAAAGCCTGTCAGAGTGAATTCACTCTTGCAGATCGATAGCTAAGTGTGAAAGCTGAAAAGGAAGAAGTACCTTCCTTGCCTACCGCGAAATTTAAAATTAGCCTGAGCCTGGGCTACAGGTGGATTATTCGATCAAGGGGATGAGATTAAGTGAAGATATTTACAGCAAGCTTATTGTTTAATTAAGCAAACAAATCCTACCCTGCTTCTTTCCTTTGTCACAGCTCCCTAACTCAATACCGTTGGACATTAGATCCAAAGAAACATGTTATGAGTAATCCGTGCTAACCTTTGTCAGCACAAAAACAAAGTCTCAGTGTCTGCCTGGTGTTCCTTACATTCTCTATACACGTACAGTGTCCTTTAGAAAAAAGGTTTTTTCCCTCTTTAGCATAAGACTACTGAGCACACCAGGCACTGTAGACAGGGAATTTGGGAAGAGGGTAACAATCGGAGAGCCAAAAGCCAGCACATCCCTCGCCAACCGCAGCTGTAAGGAAACACGGCCCCTGAGGGACACGGATGACCCGGAGGAGCTGCAGTGTCAGAAGAGCTGGGAAGGGTTAATCTGCTCTAACGGCCTTTGCATCCAAATGGAGTTGGCATTTACACCCCCGGGCAACTACAGCGTGGAAGTGGTGACCAGCAGGTCACGTGTTTTATTACCAAACCTTAACAGCTTTTACCTCCTTTCTATAACTTTAATTTGAAAAACAGCCGTAAAGACTAACGTGCAAAGCCTAGCACGGCCATTCACACAACAAATCTCAACCCAACAAACTTTACCCCTGGGCGCTGCCGGCTTTTGTGCCTCGAGGACTCCGCAGCGCAGGTGGCTCCAGAGGCCCCAAGGCCGCTGCCCAAACCCAGGAGCGGCGGCTCAAGGGGCCGAAGAGGGA